TGGTCTAATCTGGGACAACAAAAAAAAAGAAAAAAAATCTTTGATATTGGACTTTTTGTTTGTTTGTTTGTTTGTTGTTAAATTGGCCCAAGGGAAAATCTGTCCAATGCATTTAACCCATTCTTCAACCAGTGTTTATGAGCAAGATGTTAAGAGTAGTGGGCCACTGCAGTGTGGAGGAGTGATCTGTCTCCATAATTTCAGCCAGATCATGAGGAAAAATATGATGGGCAAAACGTTACATCATCCAGTTTGTAGGATTAAATCTAGATACTGCAAATAAATTCATTCATCATTCATTAAAACATTAGTGCCAGTTAAAGATACTGTATTTGAGGTGGTTTAGAGCTGTTCAACACAATCAGATCTTGAGCTCCATAATGTTGAAACTAAGGAGTCCCACTTCCTCTGGGTTTATCTCCCATCTCTATTCTAACTAAGTGGGTCTTCTGCTGCAATGTCGTTAAACAGCAGCTCAAAGACTGATAGTCTCTCTGGCCCATTTTAATTGCTGGCTGCTGTGCGTTCATGCTAAGTGGATGGTTAAGTTGCTAAAGCGTGTTCTAGTGGTGATAGACTAGGATTTCTAGATAAGGAGCCACTGAAGTGATAGAAAGTCTTCACACACAGATATTTCGTATTACAAAGATCCTATGAAATTTTCCTAATAGAATTCAAGCTATTTTACTAGCCACTAACCAAATATTTGATGAGTACAATTATTATAACAATACATACATTTGACATATGAACCAATAATGTGTCTAAAAGATGTGTCAAAAATAATTATAAAGGATAGTAAACTTAGGAGGACCTTATGAGCATGTTAAAAAGCCAGGTGCATTTCATCCGCTGTCTAGACATACACAATTACTGTCAACCTTACCATTAATAAGGAAGGCCAACAATGCGCTGGAACTCTCAGTGAGATACCCCATAGTCAGCTAAAATTTCAAAATGAAGGGAATCTACTGCCATCTTGTGGAGCTTACAATACAGTCACATTTCTCAAATGATCCTGAGAGAAACTTTCAGCATGCCAGACATAAACAGTTACATAGAAGCCAATGGATTGAGTCCAGGTGACTGGATAACATTCTTTAGGTTTACAGTGGTCAACTGAAGTTAGAAGCTGGCAAAAAAGATGATTTTGGATAAATATAACTGTATAATGGGCCAAGTCATATAAATAGTACAATCTAAAGGCATCTATGAAGCTATGGGTTTGGCAGCTGACAATTTCAATTTGCTCCAAAAATGTTTCATTTCTATTGCTGTGTTTCTGACGATATCACAACATTACATGGGCCTATAAGGTTCAAGTTAAAACTGAAGTATCCATTTTTTTTCTTTTTCCTAGAAAGTATATTGTACATGGCATCTATATAAAAAGCAACTTTGTGGAAAAAAAAAAATCAATATGGTCTTCATCTAATTATTAAACATTTCATCTTTTGTAAACTTGAGTTGCTTTGGGATGAGAGCTGATGGTGGTTATATACTGGGGTATACTCAGAACTTGCAGGTGTTTTGTTGTGTTTCTTTTGCCAAAAATTCAGGTGGAATTCAGCTAACTACTTGTTTCCATTGACACTCCAGAGTCGTATGCCATTCTGTGGAACACTTCAGGTAAAACAATATCTCCATGGAGAAAAGAAGGTTTTGGACCCTCCACCTAAAAACTTACAAAGTGTTCCGTTAAAGCATGAAGTAAAAATTGGTTCCCATACCTGCTCTAATGCAAAATAATCCACGGGGCATAGCAGCATTTTAAGTGTTATTGCTAGTAATACCGAAGTCTGTGCCATGTTTGTGCCTATCTCAGACTTCCATATTACAATGGTATGGTGTTGATCCTATTGGATAATGAACAATGCCATCTCTTAGAATCACTCTGCAATCCCAGTAAGGAGTTTAATCTTATAGGTATCTATTTGTTTTTCAGTCTAAACACGAATGGTGTAGACGTAAGCATTAAGGGAAGAATCTGAGTGCTAAAGTCGGGGTGTTAAAAGCACATTGCTTATTTCTGTGAGAAGAAAATTAATCACAAACGCAGCCTTTAGATCTGCAAGTAATGAGCACTGAGACAGGCCATGAGGTAGATGTGATCAAGATTTAGAATGCAATTTACAGACAAAAAGCCCCCTCATGAAAAGGACTAGGGGTGATATGTTGACCTATTACAGAAGAAGAAAGAAAATGGACAGCTCATTTAGGTTGAATTTAGTAAGATACTTAATTCAAAGAGATGACTGAGGCATTTTCTGGCAAAACTGTGTATGACTAAAATAAAGAAATGTGATTTTTTTTTTTTTTTAATCACATACAAACAAACATATGAAAGCTCAGATTTTTATTGTCAGCACTGGATCACATTAGGGTGTAGTATGTAATCTCGTCATCAGGTGCCACAGTGGGGCGCCAGTCACAAGAGGGTCCGCCCCAGGGCAGCTGTGGCTACAGTAGTAGTTTACCATCACCAGAGTAAATAAAATAATGATATGGAGGCATTCTGCTGCATGCCTTTTGAAGCAGTCTGAGCAATGGCAACATAAGCTATGTCTATTATCTCAAAAAATGTACATAGGCAAAATACATTAATTAAAATACCTTATGTTCATTAATAGATAATTTATTTCAGTTTATTTGTTCAGTGTTTGTCAAAAGTGTCTTTATTCATTGTGTTTCGTCCATTACTCCCAGGTTTCCTGTTGAAGGGTGACTGACATGATCAGGGCAGTACAGGAGGCCACAGTCCACAGCGGAGAGGGCAGGCCAGGCTGTCTCGTTAGCACCTTTGCGGCCACTCTCTGTGGTCCCTTATGACAGGAATGAATGCTATGCAGCATGACATTTGGTCAATATAAGGAGGATATGCCAGAGGAGCTTAATCCTTAATCCAGAAGGTTTATGTCAGCTTAGTCTGACTCAAGAGACTATTGACATGCATTAGAGCCCATCGAAGGACAAGATCGACAGGACACTGAAGTATATGTGAAGATATTGCGTCACATCCGCCTAGTTCAATCAATTACTAGTCTATTGCAATAAGTAACAGTTGCAAATAAGTAGTTTATGAAATAAGATGGAATACAAAATGTATTAAAATATGTAAGGATCATGGCAATACGTAGTATTGCTTTCATTGTTCTATTGTAACTCCAGACTGCTCTGCTACGCTTGGTCAGAATTCACTCAAAACTTATCTTATCCTCAGCTGCATCGAGGTCAGAGTAAAGTATTAGCATGTCAATATATTTAGGCCATCCATGTGCCAGAAATATTAAAAAGCTAACATGACAGCATGCCAAAATTGTGCAATGTGATTGCTATAGAAGACAAATTGATCAACAGCTTATCACTAATGCCTCTTGAACAAAAATAATAACAATACAATAATCAAAAGTTAATTATATAGTGATCCCAGAACACAGAAATAGCCTCAAATAATTTTCCTCTGGTTTAATACTCATGTGTCAAAAACAAGCTTGTCTCCATGGAGAGGTCATAGCAAAAATAAAAAAGATGGACAACTGTAAAAACAAAGTCAGCTACCGTCTTCACGTCTTAAGGAGAGTGTGATTTAAAAAGGTAGGGCATGCACATAAACAGTTATGTAAAGAATGTCAGATGTTCATGTGTGTTGACCTTCAAACCATTAATACAACGTTCCTTCATTTGATCTCATCTTTCTGAAGAAACAAACAGTTAAAGCCTTGACAAGAAAGGCCACATAAGCCACATAAATGCCACAACCTTGATTATGCAATGTAATGTAATATAAGAAGTACCGGTCTTCAAGGGAAGGAAATGTTTCTTGTTCGCAGCATGTCATGCTAAACCAAGTTTATGTATCAATATGTAAACTGATAGGGCAAGTTTTCATTCAATTACATAAACTGTCTGTGAGTACTTACAATACTGGTGCTTGTCACGGATTATGTCCCTAATTATTCATGATGTTTCATTGTCACTGGCAGTATGTTCTTCCCACCTCCCTCCCCCTCCCTCCAGCCTCTTAATATTAATAAGCCAGACGTCGCAAGCATCCACCGGACTAAACAGGCAAACCTTCCCCAGACTCTAAACACAACCTCCAGGCAGCAGAATCCTCAACATGCTTTCCTTCAGGATTTATTAATCACTAAAACCCAGCAGGACTCATCTTTACACCTCATCTACAAAGCTTCAGTCAGAGCCAGGAGAGGTACTATGTTTTTTTGTTAAAAACAACCTTGAAAGTAAATCTAATAAAGTTTAAATACAGGTCAGAAAATTATTTATTTTATGGCTTGTTATTTGGTTTTATGCAAATATATGCTAATATAGGGAATTCAGGCATTTTCTAATTATTTGATGTATATCCACAGATCACAGATTATTTTAGGATTATGTCATTATTTGTGAAAAATTTTATTTAACAATATGATGATATCTTGAAGTTGTGATTTACACAGTGTACTGTGCAGTTTTTGACTAAAAAATAAAGAGAAGTTTTGCCAATATCAGGACAAATAAAGCAACTGGTATATAACAAGTGCTAAAAATAATCATTTATCAAGGTGATCCATTATACCATTTACAGTGAAAAAGAAAGCATAACTTTATGACATGAATGAAGCTATGTATTTAGGAGCAAAATGATGCTCCACGAGCTGGCATCTGTTGCAGTCACATAACAGTTTACCAAGCTTTTGTAAACTGAGAGTGCTTGCTTCTGTATGGCACCTCAGACATCTGCGCATATAAAGTATTTAGGTTTTGTAGCCTGCTCCCACAATGTACGGAATTTATTGGCTTTCTTGTCAAATGGTCACTAGGATCAAGTTTAGCATCTATACTGTGTGGGTTTATTGCTGATTAAAATTCACAGGCTGTCAAAACATTATGTCAGTGGATAACAAAAGCATTAATCAACATTACGTACTCAACTACTCTACTACTTTTTACTCAAAATGACATATATTCTTACTTACAGTGGGATACACGGTGCTAGAATGTGGAAAAGGCCAAACTCAGGCTCGACAGGCAGACAAGGTGAAGTCACTTTTTTTGTTTGGTTTGGACAAAACATACTTATTATTATTTTTGACAGATACTGTACTGTACAATTCTGTATTCAGTGTTCAAAAAAAAGCTAAAAGTAAGAAAGGCAATAGGAAAACCATGGGAGAACTTTAACAAACATATGGGAGTTTGTATTAACTTAATTATAATTGACTGGATTGAGGATTCCACACAGTTACCATAAATAAATGAATACATTTCACTCAATAAGTCAATTTCATGACAATAACCTGTTCAAATAATTTTAAAATAAATAAATGAACAGGGATATTTTCATATTAAAATTATGTGCCATCTCCTTAAATAATTTCCTGAAGCTGTAAATGAGACCAACTGTTCCAGGAAATCCCTAGTATAATATGGAATGTGCCTGTAAAATTAAAAGTTGTTCTGAGTCAGTTGTTAGAGGCCTTTGCGATAAAAGGATGATGAGAAGAAAACATCTCTGGATTAGGGCTGCCTTCTGCTGCCCTTTCCTCTTATCCTCTCTACTTTATTCAGCCTGCATGCTTATTTTAGTCTCACTGCATTTCTTTCTTTTGCTTCACAAATGTTTCAAATTATTTACCAGCAGGCACCTATACACAGTACTATATTCCAATCAGTGCTTCAACTCCATTCTATTCTCTAGGTTTCTCGCTTGTTCATCGATATATTCAACACTTTAATGAGGTGTCAGGAAACAAATCAGGTAAAATATAACATTTCATTTTGGTTTGGCATTAACCCCAGGCAACAAGGCAGATTTGCCTAACCAATTTAATTTATCTCTGTTTCTAGAACTTTTGGTACACATTTGTGTGATAATTATAATAGTATGTATTAAGGTTATAGATACTGATCACACATTTCTTATACCTAGTCATCTAGTAATAACATCCTCCTAACAATGATAACCTGAAGACATGTAGTTCTTCTGTGCAAAAAAATGGAAGTTGAGTAACATATTGTATTCACAAGCAGTGGCAAAAGAAAAACCCTACCTGGATGACAGAGATTACACAGACTTCACAAGCAGTTAACACATTATTTTTGTATGCGAAATTTCAGCCCTGTAAAACATAACATAACATATGGTGATCTACAAATATCATTTCATACCTTGTAACCACATTCACAGTGCATTACAGTATGATAAAGCTGATCAGGTACCCCTGCTTCTACTAAAAATGGCATGCCTGACACCTACTGGCAAACAAATGTAATAGCAGTTACTTTCTCTAATATTTTAACAATATATTTATTTTTAAGCTGCCATTCGGAGACGGTCCAAAATCCCTGGAGTGACAATCACACAATATGTGCCACATTTACCTGAGGGCAAAACTCACCCAGATTTTCAATGTAAACCAACAGCTGTCAAAGAAGGTCATGAGTGTTTCAAATACATTTCTTCTTGGCTTATTTCTCCCTTTTCATCTATTGGACAATAACAAATACTTCAACATACTGCTACAGGTAAAGTGGCTGTTTTTAAGGCTGTAGTTGTAGGGGAACCCAAACCCAAGGTAACATGGAGTAGAATCAAAGGAAATATGTCAGATAAGAAGAAATATCAAATGAAATATGATGAAGCCACCAGGGAACACATATTAGAGGTATGTTTACTTATGTTTACTATAGGAGTTATTTCTACACACACTGATGTAAAAATATGCTGTTATTTTGCCGTTTTAGATTTTTAATATATCTGCTGAAGATGATGATACCTACAAATGTATAGCTTTAAATGAGTTTGGCAAAGCCACATGCACAGCAGCTCTACATTTGACTGAAGGTAAGAAAATGTCACTTCTTAACTACTTTAAAGATAATTATTTCTGTTAAATTTGTTAACATGAAGAATACTATTGCAGTCTTGTCAAATCCTTCTGACTTCAGAAAGCTGCTAAGGAAAACGTGAGAAAAACTTCAAAAAAGAAACAATACTATATAACGAATTACAAATGACCGTATGATTAGTTGTGGAAGCAAGGCATAATAATCCAAATTTTATTTTATTTTGCCATTATAGAAAACTGAGTGATGATGAAAACCAAACAGGGAAATATGAAGCAGACGAAGACAGATTCTGGAATGCCATGCTTAAAGCTGATAAAAAAGACTACAAGAAAATCTGTGATGAGTTTGGTGTTGCAGATATACATTTAGCTGTGAGAAGATTGGATGAAAAGAGAAGAGAGAGAGCACAAAAGGTGAACCCATCAAAAAGAACTTCAAACTTTCTAAAATAGGGTTAATCAATATTTCCCAAAGCAATCATTTATTATCAAACACAATATCTATAAACTAAACATTTTGCAAACATAGTATGAAATTCCATTTGAAAGGAAAATTTGTCTGTCTGTTTTTTAACCAGTATAAGTCTTACTATTTTGTTATTATAGTCCCACTTTGGCCTAGTTGCAAAATGTGCCAAAATTGCATTAATAGGGCACAATTATTCATCAAAGTTATCTTATCCTACCATGTAGTCATTTAAAGCACTGTATGCCAAGAAGTAAATAACTTGCCACTGATGTGTACTTTTCAGGAGAAAGGAATATCCTCAGATGAGGATGGACCACAGACCCTCAGTCCTGGAATTGGGGGTAAATCTAATGAGTTCAAGAGTATGAATCTGTTTGGAAAAGAACACACTGAGCTTCACTGTGATGACAATGGCTTCCTTTCAACTGAACATTTAAGTAGGTCATCTATTTGGTTATGGATACTAATAACTAACTTGAATAGCATAAAGAATGTGTTAATTGGTTACATTCAAATAAAATTTAGTCCAGCAGAATTCTATGGTGAAATTAGCAGGGTTCATGGTTAGAAACTCGTAAATATTGAATATCAACTGTCACAAAGTTTATTCTAAAGTGCTTTTAATTGACAAATGGATCATCTTAGTTGTTTTTCAATTATCATGTCAAGTTTTTGTTTTTGTTTTTTTCACTAGAATTAAAGTAAAAGATCATAAAGTGAGGCCAACAACTTTTCAACAATCAATTACAAAATGTGTTGTTTAGCTATTTACATTCATTAGTAATATTAGTCCATACTCTCCATATGTTAATTGGGGCAAAAGATTTGATAAATAATCCTTTATTTACATCCCATTCATTCATTCACATGTTTGACAACATTCTTCTTTAGTTATTCTTTCAGACAGAAAACAGTCTGTTCCACCTTGTGATGTCATGTGGCAATACAGATATATTTGCGCAATATAGATACGATAATCCTTTTATTGTCTCCCATAGAAGAAGTTAATCTTGGGACAAAGGGCCACATGCTTAACGCAAAGACAAAACAACACAGCAATAAGCCCAAACACACATCCACCATAGAACATAAATAAGAGACCAAGTATAACTATGAGGGATACACCAGCAGATCCTTTATGTCGCTCTACTAGTATACAGGCAAACCCTTCAGAGAGATTCCCTATGCCTATGTGCAGTTTTAATTGCACATTCACTAAGACTGTAGTCTTGCATTGCCACTTGTCTATAATTGGACCAAACCATGCTGAGATACAAAAAGATAAATTCCATACCTGCTCTGTAAAACATCAGCATTACATTTTTATCCACTCCATGTAACCTAAGGCTGTCGCATCTTAAAAAATAGAGATGCTGGCTGATACTTGAGCAGACAAAATGTACATGCTGGCTCCATTAGAGATCAGTCAAAGTATAGTCCTAAGTACTTACAAAATGTCACCTTCTTTATGTCCCTCCCCTTGATATTAATGGGGTCATGGTCCCATACAGATTTAGGGTAACAAATAAGCTACTGTTTTTTCCACATTTAAGACAAGGCTGTGTTCATCACATCAATGCATAATCAGTGCTTCATCAGTTTCTGTTTTATAGATGATGTCATCTGTGCTTTTGTTAAGTACCAGTAAACTAAGAATAGCCATAGTGTCAGAAAATTTAAGAGTATAGTTGTTTGCCTGCCTGCTCCTGCACACACTAGTATACAGAGTGAAAAGAACAGGCGAGTTAATAGCCCTGTGGTTCCCCAGTGCTAATAACCTGCATGTCTGACAGCACTGAATTAACCTTAACTTGTTGCTGTCTTCCAGTAAGGAAAGCCCAATACCACTTAATAATAAGTTTCAGTAGTTACAAGAGCATCATCAGTGCTTCTGTTGCTGCAGTAAGCAAACTAATAGGGATCTAACAGAATCAAATGTCAACTGTCTGTCTTGTCTTGCATGGTTTCAGAGCCCAGTGTGGACTTTGTTGTAAAAATTCAAGAGGTGAAAGCCCAGGAAAGAGAAGATGCTCTATTTGAATGTGTCCTGACACAGCCCCTACCCAGAGTTACTTGGAAAGGGAAAAATTGTGTCCTGGAGGAGAGTGAAAAGTACAACATAAGTGTATCCAACCATAAACTCATCCACAGGCTGCTGATAAAAGACTGCATGCATCTGGATAAAGGAATCTATTCGGTCGAGGCTGGCAGAGTGTCTTGTAGCGCTTTGCTATTTGTGGAAGGTAAGATTTTATCATAATTGTTATAATTAAATCTGGAGCACAGTTATGTGTATTACCTTATATTATAAATGAATTGACTTGTTTTTAAGATGACCATGACCCTGCACCTGCTGGTATGATGAAACCTCGGAAATCAACTATAGCTAGAGGACTGAGCACAGACATTGAAGAACTGGCCAAACAACAACAAATAAAAAATCAAAAGGAAATTGAGAGGATTTTAGCAGCTGTAAAGGAAAAACAACTGGAAGAGCAGCGAAATAGAGAAAATAAATGTACCAAAAAAGCAAAAGGTGGTCGACAGTCAAGTGTTACTAATCTGGCAGATGGATCAGAGCCAACTGCAGGTCAAACACAACAAACCGCTTGCAAGAAAAAAGCCAAGAACCAAAGACTCAGAGAAGGCTCTAGAAACACAACAGATGAGACAGGAGTACATGATGGACTGAGAGAGACCAACAGGAAAAACAGGACTCAGGATCAATCTGAGCAAGGGACAGGTACCAATACTCTACAAATACATACTTCACATTTGTGTGAAACAATTGCAAAAATGTTTCACTGAAAATGTAAACAAAACAAATCTTAAACATAAGTAAAATCTTGAATCTAAAAATCTATAGTGTTGGTACTGCTCATCTTAATGCTGTTATTTTTTATTTTTTTTAATAAATATTGTATTTTTCTATTAACACAGGTATCAATGAGGAATTTTATGAAGGTGCATTTGATTCAAGTTCCGAATATTCACAGAGCAGTGAAGAATCAGAATCTGACACAGAATCTGAGTCGGAATCTGAGACGGGATCTGAGTCGGGATCTGAATTAGGATCTGAGTCGGGATCTGAGTCGGCATCTGAGCTGAAATCCGAAGATGAGGAAATAAGTATGCGCCAATTTAAATTGTGTCATTCATTATTGTGTATGCTCAATGACATAAAAATATAACAAATAATGCAACATGTTCCACTACTTGCTTTAGACGGAAACTACACTGAAGATAACATGGATGGTAAAACAGTGATAAGTCAAATGAAAAAAGCTGCAGGGAGCCCAATCAAGATTCAACAAAAAAGCCTCAAGTCTGGTATGAGACATATTAGACATTAGTAATCATGTAAAAAGAAAGATAGCAAAAATAACTGAGTGTACAATTCTAAAATTTTGTTGTAGGGACAGATAAGATCAACAGTTGTGAAGAGGATCAAATACGTGAGAAAGAAGGTGAGGATAACTTTGGAAAGTCTGCGGTTACTAACAAGACTCAAGAGTCAAAGTCAAGCAAGAAATGTGACCAAACAAAGGATTCCAATGATATTTACAATACTGGTAAGCAATACTACATTAATATACTGCATTAACTATGTTGTAGTTTTACACAAAATAAAATATTATAATTCTATAGATGCTAACTTTGAAGAAGGTAATGTTGAAAAACATAAAAACAAAGTCAAAACAGCCTCTAAAAAAAGTTCATCAAAGAAGACAAAGAAGATGAATCGACAAGGCAAACTAGCATCTGGTAAGCAAATCAAAATAACTTTAACTATATTTATAAAAGAAAAGATACTTCAATACACTGCTCCATCTACAGAGACTGAAATTGCTGATATTGAGGGAGATGAAGACATCAACAATAACAATGTTTTCAAAAGAGACTCCTCAAAAAGAAAGACACATCAACGAAGTAACCTTGAATCTGGTAATTCATTTATCTATTGCATTTGAAAATATTATAAATGTATTAAGGAGCACAGTTACTAAACACATGAAAACCAGTGATACTGTAAAATTTTACAAGATTTTCAAAAAGCACAAAGAAAATATGGAATGTGCATGATATGTAGAAGTTATTTTGGACAAACCCACCAGGACTCCTAGTACCTGTGAACTTGATATAATGTTTAGCATTTTCTATGAAATAAAAAACAAAACTCTATTCCATTTACTTAAATTGAATTTAAACGTTACACTCACCACCTGGCAACCACTGACCAGTTGTTAACACCGCAAGGTTTCCCCAGACGGTGTTCGCCAGGCCTGAAGATCTGGGCAGTAGGAGAGTCATTTTTTCATCACTCCAGTCAATCAACACATCCCTGGAGTGAATATGACATATGAAAGGAGAAATTGTAATAGGATTGTTTTATATAAGGATGAATAAAAGTTTAGTTTGTCTTACCTTAGGACCAGATGGACTAGATGACATTGTGGAGGATGGTGAAGACCAGTTCCTGTCAACAACAGATTCAAAGCATGTTCAAAAACTACAGGCTTCAGCACAAGGTGAAACATGTGAAAAGAAAATAAGACACATTCAAAACCCAAAATCTCCTCCTCTACAGTAGCTATTGAGTTTTCTGTCAGTCACATTATGTTTGTTGCAGGTGTCACAAGCAAAAAGGCGGGCACAAAAAAGCAAAGAGATAAAGAAAATGGCACATCTACATCACGTTCAAAGAAAAAACGAAGAGTTCAGCTAACAGAAGATAATGTCATTGGTAAGTAACATAAATTACAGACAAAAAGGTACATAATACTATACTGTGGTAAAAACATACACAATTTTTTTCTGTAATAAACAATCACATACATTATTAGTGATACATGCAGTGGGGTGTGTTACATGTATTTCTAAGGCAGAATGTTAATTATGATGATATAATGCACACATTAGCAAACACAGCCAAAAAATATAGATAGTCTGTAAACTCAAGAAAAAATACAACATGGATTTAAACAGCACATTTTCAGGTGTCTGTGTGCATGGTCCTGTTTAGTTGTTTGATTTTCAACAAAAAGGTGAGTGACTAACTGAAAAACTATTGGTTAATGCTAGATACCTTGTGACTGTAATGCATAGAACTATCCAGGCTGTAATGTTATCTGAGAGGGACTTGTTTAACTGCACAATTCAGCTAACCTTGAATTTCCAGGTAAGTCAATTCTTTATGGTCAGATTGTGTTGAACCAAAGCTCATATTAAAGTTTAATTTGAGTAACAAAGATTCAGATAGAGCAGTGCCTATAGTTAGCATCACATCCCCAGGGACTGTAGAAGATGAATTGTAAACCGCAATATTGATCTAAAACAACTTCATAACAGATACAGGTCCATGGATTTCCTGTTCAAAACTGTAGAACTGATTATTTACCGCTTGGCCCATAGCAAGCCATAGTCAGCAAATTTTAATTTATGGAGTTTTTATTTTTGAAAAATGGCTACACAACATTTTTGATCATTTGTATGGCGTGGTGTTGCAAGTTTTCAAAGAATCACAAGTACAGAGTCAAGGGGATAGGAGGTAGGTGCATATGTACATTTTCTGAGCAATCAAGCCTCAGGACAAATACTCCGACATGCATGTATGTGTAAAAACAGTTACCGGTATAACACAAAAGAGTTTGTTTTCCATAACTTTTTGTAATATACCAAAGAAATTCAGTTGCTCTTCTTTAACTGAAAATACTTTTATTTTCTTCTAATAGATCAGTTTTGTTAGTAGAAAACAAAGGCATTTAAAGTTCAAGAAGACAATATTAGAATATTTTTAACACTGTTATTAACACGATTTAAAGCTCATAATAGTAAATTTTGTATGTCGTCTTTAACTGTACCCTATGTGGAATGATAGATGCAGGAGTTCATTTCATCTGGGGACTGTCGGATGTGAACGCTGTGATTGGTGAGTCAGCAGAGTTAACCTGCAAACTCAGCAGAGAAGACTGTGAAGGAGCCTGGTTCAGAGACGGCAAAAAGGTGACAGACTATCTCCAATTACGGTAGACTTGTTTCTTGTGGTTCCATTGTTCACTTTACTCTTTGTCTTCTATGTGTGAATAGATATCCAATGACGCTAACTTCACAACATGGAAAGATGGAGTGATTCACACACTAGTTATTATCAAGTGTGAAGAAGAGCATTCAGGCAAATACCGCTTTGAGGCAGATGGTCGTAAAACAGAAGCAATGGTCAATGTTAAAGGTTTGACTATAAATATGCTTAATACTCTGTATTAAGCATATCTGTACGAAGTGCACACAAATATGACTCATTATAGCAGGACCGAAACAAGTTAATCGATTATCGCAACTAATCGATTATTAAAATAGCTGACATTGTTTTCTGAGCTATATAGGCTCCAAAACATGCCATGTGTTTAGAGAAGATGATGATATGATGACACAAGCCCAAATTGACACAGCAAATATGTAAAAATTGTCTTTTTGATGAACAACCAAATTTGTCATAAATATACTTTATTTCAGCTTGTCAGATTTATTAAAAATCTTATATTCCCTTTTGAAATCAAAACAACTAATCGATAACTCAAAAGAATAATCGCCAGACTAATCACATTTTTTTTTTTAGATCCACCCAGGTTTGTGGTAGAGGATCTGGAAGCTTTCACTAAACCTGTGACAATTAAAGTGGGACACAATGCTGTCTTCAAAATGGCTTTTGTTGGACACCAGCCAATAAAGATTCACTGGTACCGAGAGGAAGAGGAGCTCCAAGAGGACACCAACATAAAGATTGAGAGGTCCTCAAGCCACAGCCGTCTGCTTCTGATCAGGTGCCAAAGGAAAGACACGGGAGAGATCAAGGTCAAACTGAAAAATGAAGATGGCTTCACTGAGGCTATTTCACAGCTAATTGTGCTTGGTAAGTAACAGCCCCTCTGGCAGGACTTAATTTAAGTTTACTTCAAGTGAGATAAGAACTTCATTGATTAGACGGGAAAAAACGGTGTACTTACTAAAATTAAGATACAAGTACAGATATTAACAACGCATGGAGAGTCAAATATATATTTTAAATTTAGTCCTACACACTAAACATTTAGAACATTTTCATTACAGATAAACCAACCAGTCCCCTTGGTCCAGCAGAGGTGATTGAGAGCTCACCTGTATGCATTGAATTTAAGTGGAGACCTCCAAAAGATGATGGTGGTTCACCGGTAACTAACTACACACTGGAGCGTCAGCAGGTGGGTCGAAACACGTGGAAGAAGTTGGGTGAAGTGCCGGGTGTGTCCTGCTACCGTGACACAGACGTGGACCATGGGCGGAAATACTCCTATCGCATCCGTGCTGTGACTGCTGAGGGCGTCAGTGAGATCCTGGAGACAGATGACATGCAAGCTGGTACCCTAGGTGTGTACAAATAGAACAACTGAATTTCATTACAATAAAATAAATGCATGAATACTGCAGCTGCTTACAAAGGTCACATCCAAATTATAGGCTTAGTTCAAAGCATTAAGTTAAAGATCAATTTTGATTTTATATTATGTGCACAAACAGAATATAACAATGTAATAACCTTCAAACACAATAAATGTGTTTATGCTGCAGCTGCTTACAAAGGTCAATTCCAAATATAGGCCAACCCTAGGTCAAAATCTTGAAGGGGATAGACAATAACCTTCTTTAAAATAATAATCTGATCATCTTTCCCAAATAAGTGCAATGCAATGCCCAATGCAAATTGATTTACAATATGAGGAATTTCATTTAAACATTTAGTGTTAATATCAATTGTGATTATACAGTACTTTAGATCAGGACAATGAGAAAACTCCATTGGTAAAAAATATATAAGTATACCAAAGAACGAGAGATGGTGCTAAAGTTGGTTACCTCAAGGCAAGGTTTCAGGGTGCTGCCTGCCTGTTATCCTTTGGCAAACAAACTTGTAAAATAAAATATAAGATAGCATCACTGTGCATATATGCGTTCATTTCAAATATTGGTTTCTATTAATTGTATTTTTGCGAGTGCTAAACTGATTCATAAAGCGGTGCATGCTAAATCGCGCAATGCTAAATGTTAGCCATCAGTTTGGATTAGCTTTATCATTTTAAGTTTAAATCAACATCTGAGGTTAAGTCAAGGTAAGTAAACTATATAGAATAATAACCTCAATGTAATAAATACCGTAAAAGGGAATGATGCTACTCAGCTAATGTTAACTACACTAACACATGGACATAAACGTAATGCATGAGATCCATGGATCTATGATCGGATCAGCAAAAACACACCTGTGCCCACTAGAGACCGGATGTGGTCATGACACCGCAGTTCTCATCTTTTCTTGGTGATGTGAAAGTAAAAAAAAAGAATAAAATACAGTCCCTGACAAAAGTCTTGTCGCTTATCCATTTTGTAGAAACAAAAGCTTATAACTTGACTTTAAATTAATTGATTGGTTTTAGAAATGTCTCATACGAAAGCTAAAACCCTCCCAAATTATGCTCAATATACAAAAAAAAATTTGCTTCACTGAAAAAAGATTGATCATTTAATGAACACAGAAAGGTCAGATTTTGGCAAGACAAAAGTCTTGTCGCCTTGTCATATGATGCACCCAATCCTAGATTACAGCCTCACCTGTGGTCAGTTACTGATCAATCAATTAGTGGGTGTGTATAAAAAGAAGCCCAGCACACCAGACCTTCACATCAACTGCAACTTGACCTCTGACAACATGCCTAAGATCCACCCTGAGACCAAAGCATGAATTATCAAGAGGCTGAAGACCAGATCCACTGCTGAGGTGGCTGACACCTTCAATGTGTCTCAGCGTCAAGTACAAAGAATAAGAAAAAGATCTGAAATGACTGGAGATGTTTTTGACAAGCCCAGGTCCGGCAGACCCCGCAAGACAACTGTTCGGGAGGACCGTTTGTTGATTCGAAAATCCAAGGCCAGCCCCTTTTCCACTGCAGCAGAGCTCCACCAGGCCTGGTCACCTCAAGTCCCTGTGTCAACCACAACAGTTTGTAGAATTCTGTCTCGAAATGGCCTCCATGGTCGAATCAGTGCACAGAAACCAGCACTAAACAAAAGGCAATTAAAAAAACGTGTGGCATTTGCCAAGGCCCACAGCCTGCTAAAAGGATGGACACTGGAAAAGTGGCAGAAGGTGGATTTCTCAGATGAATCCTCAGTTGAATTACATCACAGCTGCCACAAATATTGCAGGAGACCTACTGGAGCCCACATGGATCCAAGATTCACCCAGAAAACAGTTAAATTTGGTGGCGGAAAAATCATGGTCTGTTGTTCCATCCAGTATGGGGATGTGCGAGACATTTGCAGGGTGGAAGGCAATATCAATAACCTAAAATATCAAGACATATTAGCTACCTCTTACATTCCCAACCATAAAAGGGGTTAAATTTTGCAGCAGGATGGTGCTCCATCGCATAATTCTATCTTGACATCAAAGTTTCTCAAGGCGAAGAAGATCAAGGTGCTCCAGGACTGGCCAGCCCAGTCACCAGACATGAACATCATTGAGCATGTCTGGGGTAGAATGAAAGAGGAAGCATGGAAGGCAAAACCAAAGAATCTTGATGAACTCTGGGAGGCATGTAAGACGCTTTCTTTGCTATTCCTGATGACTTCATCAACAAATTGTATGAATCATTGTGGAACCACGTGGATGCAGTCCTTGAAGCTCATGGAAGTCATACAAGATATTAAATATGGATCTCACAGCACCACTACTTAATTCACTGACGTTATGCAACATATTTTTGTATTTGAAGTAAATTATTTGTTCAATTTTCTGTAGGCGACAAAACTTTTGTCTTGCCAAAATCTGACCTTTCTGTGTTCATTAAATGATCAATCTTTTTTCAGTGAAGCAAATTTATTTTAGTTTATTGAGCATAATTTGGGAGGGTTTTAGCTTTCATATGAGACATTTCTAAAACCAATCGATTAATTTAAAGTCAAGTTATAAGCTTTTGTTTCTACAAAATGGATAAGCGACAAGACTTTTGTCAGGGACTGTAGTAGGCCTATTTGTTTGCCCTTTTTCAAATGATTCAGTCAGTGGCGTAAGGTTATGTATTTTTAATCTAGGCTATTCATTTGTTTGTTTTCTCAGCCTTCCCAGGGCCTCCTGCACCACCAAAGATAACAGACGCTTATGATGACTGCATCAATCTGGCATGGGTTGTACCAAAAAAGACAGGTGGCTCACGGATTCTGGGATATATTTTGGAGAAGCGCAAAAAAGGGAGTAATCTGTGGTCAGTTGTCAACCCATCTGGTGAACTAATAAAAGGTCATTTAATTTTAGTTAAAAGAACTGTTAAACCCCTGTTGTGATGTTAACAATAGCCACTGGTGCTAATTTGTTTCCCTAGAGAAGAAATATGCTGTAAAAGATGTTGTGTCAGGTTTGGAGTATGAATTCAGAGTGGCAGCTGTAAACCTTTCAGGACCTGGAGAATTCAGCTACCCCTCTGAGTTTGTTTGTGCACGAGATCCCAAAAGTAAGTACACAATTCACTGAGCTAATTTAATATTCAGATAAGATATAAAGTAGAATTTGCTTTTAATGTATTTATTGTATTTAATGTATTCTCTGTCAGCATAACTGCTAATATTATAAACAAAGAGTATTATTACTAAATTTCAAAGACTTTAATGGAACTACTGTAAGCCTTTGCTTTTCCAACTTTCAGGCTTTAGAATGTCATCTGAAACCTAGCACTAGAATAATACGAAATACTCCATTTGACCTTTTGTCATTATCATCATCTTTCATTTGTGCATTTTATACATATTTTATGTAAATGCAGTGCCTCCTGGAAGAGTAATAGGCCTAAAGGTGACAGAAACCTCCTACACACATTTTGCCTTGACATGGAGCAAGCCTGAGGAGAGAGTGGGAATCCAGGATGAGCCCAAAGGATATTTTGTTGAGATTCGAAATGCTGAGTCAAGTGAATGGTCCAGATGTAACAGCACCCCCATGATCACCACTTCATATAGTGTTAAAGGCCTCCGGTCCATGAACCTGTACTGGGTCAGAGTTATAGCTGTAAATGATGGAGGAGATGGTGCCCCTGAAGAGCTGCCCAACTATGTGATGGCTATGCCCTTGCCAGGTATGTGATTCTTCAGAAAATAAAAGAAAATATATGACTCTCCTGTTAAAAAATACAATTGCTTAACTACAAAAACAGTAAATAAACATTTTTGGACGCAACCTCAAAACTATAAGTGATACATACACTTTAAACACTAATACATGGTGTTCACAGGTGACGGTGGAAGTAGTAATAGCAGCAAGTACAGTTTTGTAATGACAACTAATTACATTACATTATTAACCTTACTGTACATAGATTTTATCTAGGTCAATGGATATTACAAGTATGCAATGCTGTAGTATTGTAAGTATTAATTTATGTTATGTGACGCAACAGTGGGACCCAAAAAATGGACTGAAGACCAGTTCATAAAAATGAAAAAAGGAGAATTTTACAATTGGTCAAATGAGGGCTGGAGGAAGGCTGGAGGAAGGCTGGAGGGCTGGAGCAGGCTGGAGCAGGGCTGGAGCAGGGCTGGAGCAGGGCTGGAGCAGGGCTGGAGCAGGGCTGGAGCAGGGCTGGGAACACTAGAGAGCAGAGAACGCAGGTAAGTAAAATGTCGAGGCAAAAAGGTAAGAATCAAAAAACTCAGAATGAGGAGCCAAGAGGATCACCGTGTGTAGGTAGCAAACAATCTGGCAGAGTCTCACAGGTGAGCAGGTCTCAAGTAGTTGGCTCTTGATTGCTTGCAGGTGCGGTGAATCAGAGGACCAGGAGACTCCGCCCACACACACACACGGGCAGGGAGGGGAGCACCAGCCATGACAGTACCCCCCCCACCCAACGGACGTCTCCAGACGTCTTACCAGGCTTGTCTGGGAATGCCCTGTAGAAGTCCCGGAGGAGGGACTTATCCAGGATGTTGCTGCGGGGAATCCAGGAGCGCTCCTCTGGACCATATCCCTTCCAGTCGACCAGATACTGAAAACCCCTCCCACGGCGAGAGGACAGGAAGACACTGGCTTGAGGAGAGACATGTGAAACGAAGGATGAATATTGAGGGAGGAAGGCAACTTGAGGCGTACAACTGTGAGTTGCTGTGTGCTGTAGTGCAGCTCGAGCGGCCCTCCACACCAGTTTACAGCGCCTTAAATGGGCCTGGACTGACGGGACTGTCACATCCTTGATCTGGGAAAAGAGGAGGCTGAAAACCCAAGGAAGCCATGAATGGGGTCATACCTGTGGCAGAGGATACAAGTGAGTTGTGGCCGTATTCAATCCAAGGCAGATGTGTCCCATGTGGCTGGGTTACGGGCACAGACACAGTGCAAGGCTGCTTCCAGGTCCCGATTTGTACGCTCTGTTTGACCATTGGATTGTGGGTGGTACCCAGAAGAGAGGCTGACAGAAGTTCCCAGAGCTTGACAAAATGCCCTCCACACTTGGGATGTAAATTGTGGTCCTCTGTCAGAAACAATGTCAACGGGGATGCCATGAAGCCTGTACACATGAAGAACCAGAAAGTTAGCAGTTTCAGTAGAGGTTGGCAACTTGGGAAGGGGTACCAAATGCACAGCTTTGGAGAAACGATCCACAAGTGAGTATAACAGAGTTACCATTGGAATTTGGGAGCCCCCTGACAAAGTCTATAGCAATGTTGGACCATGGTCTGCTGGGAATAGGCAAAGGGTTAAGAAGACCAGAGGGCGCTTGATGGCTAGACTTGCTTCGGGCACAGGTGGTACAGGCGGCAATAAAAGACCGCGTGTCCTTGATCATAATGGCCTCCAGAATTTCTGCTTAAGGAAAGCTAAGGTCCGGTGAAAGCCAGGGTGACACGTGAGTTTAGAACTATGCCCCCATTGGAGGACCTGAGCTCGAACCGACTCAGGCACAAATAGAGAGTTTGGTGGGCAGTTACCTGGGGCAGGTTGAGTTCGTTGAGCCTCACGGACCACCCTTTCAATCTCCCAGTGAACAGATGCAACCAGGTGAGTGGATGGTGGAACCTCAGATAAGTTCTCTGAATCATCAATTACGCAAATAGAAGGCAGGATGGAAGCAGGCAGAGACTCGGGGACATCCGGGGAGAACTGACGAGACAAGGCATCAGGTTTTATATTCTGAGAACCAGGAAGGTAGGTCAGGATGAAGTTAAACCTTCCCAGAAACAGAGCCCATCTAGCCTGTCGAGAACTGAGTCTCTTGGCAGAACGAAGGTATGACAGGTTTTTGTGGTCAGTCCAAACAATGAAGGGATGTTCCGCACCCTCCAGCCAGCGCCTCCACTCCTGCAAAGCCAAAACCACCGACAAAAGCTCTATTTCCAATGTCATAGTTTACCTCTGCAGGAGACAGACGGCGAGAGAAGAAGGCACAGGGATGAATCTTTTGATCTTTTAGAGAACGTTGGGACAGGACTGCTCCCACCCCTGAGTCAGAGGCATTAACCTCAACAATAAATTGCCTGGAGGGGTCCGGGTGAGTAAGGACAGGAGCAGAGGCGAACAGAGACTTGAGAGTTGTGAAGGCTTCTTCTGCCTCACTAGACCACTTGAAAGGGGTGAGGGTAGAGGTAAGACGAGTCAGTGGGGCTGCCATCTTGCTGTAGTCCTTGATAAATCTCCTGTAAAAGTTAGCAAATCCCAAAAAATGTTGTAGTTGTTTCCTGGTTTCAGGTTTCGGCCACTCTGCCACAGCTTTCACCTTCTCAGGATCTACCTTTATCTGCCCCTGTTGGATGACAAAGCCCAGGAAGTTCACAGAGGTGGCATGAAAATCACATTTCTCTGCTTTCACAAAGAACTTGTTCTCCAGGAGGCGTTGCAGAACCAGCCTTACATGCTGGACATGTTCCTTGAGATTTCTGGAAAAAAAAAGAATGTCATCCAAATAGACAAAGACAAACTTATTCAACATATCCCAAAGAACATCATTAACAAGAGCTTGGAAAACTGCTGGTGCGTTAGTAAGACCAAATGGCATCACCAAGTATTCGAAATGTCCAAGTGGGGTATTGAATGCCGTCTTTCACTCATCACCCTGTCGAATGCGTACTAGGTGACAGGCATTTCTTAAGTCCAATTTTGTAAAAATGGAGGCTTGATGAAGGGGTTCGAAGGCTGAATCAATGAGTGGGAGGGGGTACTTATTTTTAACCGTTATGTCATTTAAACCTCTGTAGTCTATACAGGACCTCAGTGTCTTGTCCTTCTTCCCCACAAAGAAAAAGCCTGCACCTACAGGTGATGAAGAGGGACGAATCAGCCCAGCAGCTAAAGAATCCTTAATGTAAGTCTCCATAGACTCCCTCTCAGGGCCGGAAAGTTTATATAAGCGACTAGATGGTAAGGGGGCACCAGGGAGCAGATCAATAGCACAATCATAGGGATGGTGTGGAGGTAGGGAAAGTGCTTTCTGTTTGTTGAAAACTTCACCCAGATCATGATATTCAGGGGGCAGAGCAGACAGATCAGGAGGAGTGGGAGGAGAGTGAGAGACCAGTTTGCTGGGGGTTATAGCTGATTGGAGACAGTTAAAGTGACAGAAAGTGCTCCAGCTGGCAATGTTGTTTTTAGCCCAGTCAATATGAGGATTGTGCAATTTTAACCAGGGAAGTCCCAAAATGATGGGGGCATGAGGGGATGAAATCACTAAAAACTTAAGAGCTTCTCTGTGGTTACCAGACAGAACCAGTGTAAGATTCACAGTCTGATGTGTGATCCTGGCCAACCTCTCTCCATTCAAGGTGTTTACATCCCTGGGAGGTTCTATGGGATCCAAAGGAATTCCAGCTTGAAACACAAAATTAGAGTCTATGAAATTGTCATCAGCTCCAGAGTCAATTAATGTTAGGAGGGGAATGGACTCACGTGACCAGCACAGAGTGGCTTGGATTTGTAGTCTTTGTGGGGTGGAAACTGGGAGAGAAGTGGTTTGGCTCACCAGAACCTCTCCAATTAGGCAAGGCAAGGCAAGTTTATTTGTATAGCACAATTCGTACACAAATTAATTCAAAGTGCTTTACAGAATAAGAAATACATTAAAGTCATAATAAAAACAAATCAAAACATAAATAATCATGAAGATTAAAATTAAAAAAGAGAGACATAAATTGGAGAGAAGAGTGCGGAATGAAAACCTTTCAGTTCTGTGCACAGTTAAACAGAAATGTTTTGAGCCTGGATTTAAACAGCATCACAGAAGAGGTCTGTCTCACATGTTCAGGAAGACTGTTCCAGGTTTTAGCTGCATGAACCTGAAATGCTGACTCCCCTTGTTTAGTCCTGACTCTGGGCACCAGCAGGAGGCCGGTCCCTGAGGTCCTCAGAGTGCGAGATGGTTCATATGACACTAACATGTCACAGATGGACTTTGGTGCTCAGCCATGGAGAGACTTGGAAGCCAGTGCAGAGACCTGAGCACAGGACTTATGTGCTCGTACTTCCTACTTCGAGTAAGGACCCGAGCTGCAGCGTTCTGGATGTTCTGCAGCTGTCTCACAGCTCGTTTGGAGAGACCAGTGAGCAGACCATTACAGTAGTCTAACCTACTGGAGACAAACGCATGGATAAGTTTCTCCAAGTCTGCTTTAGACAGTAAACCTTTGATTTTTGCTATGTTTTTTTAAATGGTAAAAGGCTGCAGATGTTATTGACTTAAAGGTTGTATGGAGGATTTTTTTTTGTTTCAAATTGTCAATGATAGCATTATAGAGATGCAGTAGCCTTGTAATTATGATGACCAAAAAAAAGAATAAAAATTCATCAACTCTGGACGTGGTGGGGCTAAACATTTGCCAATAGATAACGACACTGCCTCGTTATCTGTTAGCTGACAGGCTGTCAATCAATCTCCCTACGTTTCTAGCGTAACTGACTTGCCTGCGCGCCGCCGGTACGTGGTTTACGTACGCCTGTCACGCAGTCCACAGACGCAAGACGCACAGACGCTGTTTACTCCACCAACGCAACAGTTCTTAGCGGCTTTTTTTGACCTATATCTTCCTCGCAGTTCGCACAAAGTTTGTTGCAATGGCAGACAAGAATCCAGGAGCAGTTAGCCGCAAAAGAAAGTCCGTTTTTGAGATTGCTGAAAGAAGAAAAGGGGAAAAGCAGCGAAGCCAAACTAAGGTGATTCTTGAAGATTCATTCCAGCGATGGCGCGACTGAAGCAGACGCAGGGTCTAAAGACTGACGCATTGGTCGCCAAATTACTCCTGGACAGGTCACTTCTGCTTATTATGAAAACGTACTTTATTTCCAAGAGCTAGTCAAATGTTTTTCAGGACACGAAAGCGATATCCTATGTCTGAAAACGTAATTTTCAAGGCAAAGAAAGAGTCCGCTTGCTGCTGCGTGTTGTAGCTAGTTCATTCGCACTGAATCTCCACGCAACCTTCTCTGCACCCCTTTCCTGCTCCTCTCCCCGCTGCCCGATCCGCTCTTCCCCCTGCTCCTCACTTCTCCGGGCACGGAATCTCCGCACACCGCTCCCCTCTCCTCTCTCCTCTCCCTGCTCCCCTCTCCACTCTCCTCTCCTCGCTCCCCGCTCCGCTCTTCTCCCTGCTCCTCACTTCTCGTCTGCGCACGAAATGTCCGCACACCCGCTCCCCCCACTCCTCACTTCTCCGCCTTGCCTAACCAACACTGTAGTTAGTTGTTTACAAGTCATGTGCAGCGCACCGGCTGTAAACAAACCTGTTTCTGGCGTAAGGAGGAGGCGGGAGGAGGCGTTTCTACGTAGGGAGCTGTAGGGGAGGGGGGGTGGTTTCACGCATGCGCAACATTTGAAAAAGGACAAACAGTCGCTGGATTTCTCGTTCCTTGGAAAATACTCTATACAACCTTTAATGTGGCTGTTAAAGTTCAAGTCAGAGTCCATTATTACCCCTAGATTTCTTGCCTGATTTGAAGGTTTTAGAGAGCGAGACTGGAGGTGACTGCTGACACTGTCCCTTTGTTTCTGTGGACCAAACACTATGACTTCAGTCTTGTCAGAGTTTAGCTGGAGAAAGTTGTTTTGCATCCACACACTGATCTGTTGGATGCAGTGACCAAGTGAGTCCACTGCCATAGATCTGAGTGTCATCTGCATAATTGTGGTAGGACACGTTATTGCTGCTTATTAACTGGCCTAATGGCAGCATGTAGAGCTTGAACAACAGGGGCCCAGGATTGACCCCTGAGGCACCCCACAGGTCAGGGCCATGTGATCTGAGACACAGTTTCCAATTTCAACAAAATACTTCCTGTCTTCTAGATAGGACTTGAACCAGTTTAGTACAGTACCAGAGATGTCCACCCAGTCCTCTAGTCTCTGTAAGAGGATCCCATGATCGACAGTGTCAAAAGCAGCACTCAGGTCTAACAGAATCAAGACTGAGACTTTGCCTGCATCAGTGTTCAGGCGGATGTCATTTGTCACCTTGATAAGAGCAGTCTCAGTGCTGTGGTGGGCTCTAAAACCTGACTGGAAAACATCAAAAGTTGTTGTTCATTTGGAGAAATTTTGTAAGCTGTTGGTAAAGTACAGTACTGTGGCATCAAGACTGCTCTTCTTTAGAAGAGGCTTAATGACCGCAGTTTTCAACGCGTTTGGGAATGTTCCAGATTGAAGTGACATGTTAATTATGTGAGCGAGTGGTGAAAGTAAACTGTTGAGGACAGACTTTAGAAATCTAGTGGGTAACATGTCCAGGCAGCAAGTAGATGAACTCAGACTGGTAACAATCTCTAAAACAGTTTTGTCAGTTACAGGTGCAAAGTGTCTCTGTGGCTGCATGCTTGTTATTTGTGTTGTGGAATTGATGGCATTTTTTGATGCCCTGAACTTTGTCATTAAAGAAAACTGCAAACTCATTACATTTAGATGTGGAAATTAGTTCTAGTGGCAGCAGAGCTGGAGGGTTTGTTAATCTGTTCACTGTTGCAAACAGGACACGAGAGTTGTTACTGCAATTTCCAATAATGTCCGAAAAATACGTCTCTCTTGTTTTACTCAAAGTGTAGTTGTACATATGCATTGCTCCTCTGTAAATCTCATAATGAACCTGGAGGTTTGACTTGCACCATTTCCGCTCAGCCTTCCGGCACTCCCTTTTCTGTGCTCTGACTGAGTCATCATTCCTCCACGGAGCTTTTTGCCTATCTTTAACCATTTTAACCTTTATCGGGGCGATGGCATCCAGAACATTCAAAACACTCAAAGTCACAGAGTTCAACATATCATCAACATTAGAACATGAGGCCATTTCAAAATTTATCATTTCCATGAACAGTGCACCTGTGTTATCATTTATGTGTCTTCTTCGAACAACTGTAGGAGCAGCCGGTGGTTTGGGAATAACAGACAGGTCAAAGAAGACACAGAAATGATCAGACAGAGCAACATCAACCACTGAGGAGCCCTCTTTGGGTCGCTGGGGGCAGGAGTTGATGTAATGACCAGCGTGACCGCAGTAAATGTACAGTTCGGACTGCTGGCGGCGCTGGCGTTCTGCTGGTGTTAAACGCACCCGGCCCAGCTGCATTGGCTCCTCTCCCGTAGAGGACTCGGGGGAACTGGAAGGCACAGGAGAATTGTTAGTTGTGGCGTTAGAATAGGGAGAAGTAAACTGAGGAAGTGTGAGTGTATGAGCTGAGGACTGTTGTGCTTTCTCTTTTTGTCTCTCTCTCAGCCTGTTGTCAAGACAGGTGGCCAGGGAAATGAGCTCTTCAAGAGAATTGGTCTCATTGAGTGCGGCTAGTTCATCCTTAACTCTTTCACTCAACCCACTCATGAAAACACTCTGTAATGCTGTGTCGTCCCAACCACTCTCTGCAGCTAGAATTCGAAAATCTATGGCGTATTGAGCAACGGGTGATGAGCCTTGACTGAGTGAAAGGAGACGTCTTGCTGCTTCCTTTCCTTTAAGAGGGTGGTCAAAAATCTTCCTCATTTCAGCCGTGAAATTAACATAAGACAGACACAAGGTGGAGTCAGACTCCCAAACAGCTGTGGCCCATTGTGCAGCTCTACCAGTGAGTAGACTAAGTAAAAATGCAATACGGGACTTATCTGAGCAGTAGGTGTTGGGTTGCTGGTCGAACACCAGGGAGCACTGGAGGAGGAAACGGCCACAAGACCCAAGGTCACCGGAGTAGCGCTCTGGAGTTGGAATGTGGGGCTCACGAGCAGCAGAGGTGGAAGGCTGGACTGGAGGGGAAGCAGGTGGTTGAGGTTGACCAACAGGTGGCGATTGTAGCACAGGTGAGATCTGAGCAGCGAGTCGATTCAATTGAGTGGTACGTTGAGTTACATTTACGGATAATTCACAGAGTCCTTCAGACACTTGCTTCAGAATCTGTTCATGTTGGCCCACTCTGACCCCCTGGATGGCCAGAGTCTGAAGAACGGGATCTTGGTCCTTGTCCGATGGGTCCATTTGGCCAGATTGTTCTATTATGTGACACAACAGTGGAGGGACCCAAAAAATGGACTGAAGACCAGTTCATAAAAATGAAAAAAGGAGAATTTATTTTACAATTGGTCGGAGCAGAGCTGGAGCAGAGCTGGAGCAGAGCTGGAGCAGAGCTGGAGCAGAGCTGGAGCAGAGCTGGAGCTGGAGCAGGAGCAGAGCAGGGCTGGAGCAGAGCTGGAGCAGAGCTGGAGCAGAGCTGGAGCAGCTGGAGCAGAGCTGGAGCTGGAGCGGAGCAGAGCAGGGCTGGAGCAGGGCTGGAGCAGGGCTGGAGCAGGGCTGGGAACACTGGAGAGCAGAGAACGCAGGTAAGTAAAATGTCGAGGCAAAAAGGTAAGAATCAAAAAACTCAGAATGAGAAGCCAAGAGGATCACTGTGTGTAGGTAGCAAACTATCTGGCAGAGTCTCACAGGTGAGCAGGTCTCAAGTAGTTGGCTCTTGATTGCTTGCAGGTGTGGCAAATCAGAGGACAAGGAGACTCCGCCCACACACACACACACACACACACACACACACACACACACACACACACACAGGGAGGGGAGCACCAGCCATGACAAATTTATGCTTGAATACTTATTCCCTCTCTCTTTTAAGTGAGACCAAAATTTACAAATCAAAAAATGAAGAGTTTCATAGTGGTGAGAGCAGGAAATTCAGTGAGGATAACGGTAAACTTTGAGGTAAGACACATTTAACTACATTACACATTATTAATTATATTATTATTAATATTATTAATAGAGGGCATTATATAGAGCAATTATAATGCTTTTTAATAGGCTTCCCCAAGACCGGACATCATGTGGCTGAAGGACAACGTGCCTGTGGCAAAGCGTGTTACAGTGAGTAACTGTGATGGGTCGTCCCAGCTGCTAATCCCCTCCTCTGAACGCTCAGACTCAGGCATCTACTCCATTCTGGTGAAAAACCTTGTGGGACAGGAGACGTTCAGCACCGAGGTTAGAGTCACAGGTAAAACTGAGCTCATGTTTTTCACAAATTTCTCATCAGATGACATCACAACATATGTCAGATAATAGTATGCTTTCTAGATTTTGATCTCAGAGGAATTTCCCTGATTATAAAATCAATAAAAAATAATCAGGGTAGCTAAACAAAATGGGATTTTTTTTTTCTTTTTGATGTTCCTTATGAATAATTAATAAAGCTATCTAGGATTTACAGGCCAAATTCAAACAGAGCTTCTTTTTATTCATAAAACACCATGTTATTGTTTTTCTCTAATTGACTCAATGGTCTCATTGGGACTAAGGGAGATAGGAAACAGTCAACATGTCTTTGTATAGTATGGAAAAAGCATGTTGTCCTGGCCAGCCAGGCAAAACAACCCCCAGCCAAAAGAGTGGGTCAATAATCAAATGTAAAAACTTAAAAAATATATATATTTCAATTCTTCTAAATAGTATATTGTTTTTGGTTACAGATGACCCAAAGCCTCCGGGCCCAGTAGAACTAGAGGAGAATGTCCCAGGAACAGTGACAGTTGTCTGGGAACCCTCTCCTGATGAAAAGCGAGATGACCGCCTTCACTACACTGTGTCTAAACTGGACAGCACCAAACACACATGGATCACTGTCGCTGACCGGCTTTTCAATAACAGGTTTACAGTCTGTAACATCATGCAGGGGAGAGAATACCACTTCAGGGTGTATGCCAAGAATGATATGGGCATTTCTGCACCTTCGGAGTCACTTACCTGGGGAAGAGAGAAGAAGAGAGGTAGTCTATATTTCTAAATGGAAAACTATCAGGCATTTGTAAAGGTGCATTTTGTCTGAGAGTGTGGGCTGCTTGTCTCCATGAAACTGTTATTGCTTTGCCTAGAATGTTCCACAGTGTGGCTTTAAACTTGGCTGTCTTGCATATATTTGATTTACATGTGTTTTTATTTTTCAAACATCATGCCTCCATACCTTGGAGATGGATACGTTTAATACTATACTGTTGAACATTACCATACAGACAAAGTAATGACACATTATCCATGTAGACAAACAGGTGCCCCTCCACCAGAAAAGTTACATAGTGGACTTTTAACAATAATGTCTGCTTCTTTTTCTAGAAAAGTTTGTTCTAAGCCTGGCGTCAAGTAAGGACTGTGATTTGCGGTGTGCCCCAACCTTCATTGTTCCACTGAAACTCCACACTGCACCCAAAGGTTATGAATGCTACATGAGCTGTGCTGTGTCAGGAAACCCCAAACCACGGATCACATGGTACCGGAACAACATTAGTCTAAACACAAATACTAACTATTACATCTCCAACACGTGTGGGGTCTGCTCCATGCTGATCCTCCAAGTTGGTCCCAAAGACATGGGAGAGTTTGTCATCACAGCAGAGAATGCCCTGGGAAGAGCAGAGAGCTCCACTGTGCTCTGCATCAGAGGTGAGTCTGAAAGTTACAGCTTTAACAAAATTATTATAAATATATAATCCTATTATAAATATTTAATAATTCATCTATGTACACATATTTTTGTCTTCTTTTTGTGGCAGAATAAAGCAACAGAAGATGATGGTGTAATCATTTGCAGTGTGTATGCAACAGTATATATTATTATGAATATGAATAAACATTACACATTCACAGTTGATATTGACTGAGTAATTGTATAATAAAATTACATATCACATAATAGAGGAGCCGCTAATAGTAATGGCACATAATTGAGGTGGTGCCAGGTATTTAACACTGCACAGAGCTTCTTTGATCATGTGACTGGCATGCCCAGACGGCATGTGTAGGCTCGTGTAGTGTACGCAGGCCTCGTGCAGCTATGGCTCTGGGTCATAAATAGCTCGTAGTGCGCCGAAGCCCACGGCCCAAGCAGTGGACGTGTAGTTTCTCCATTAGATGACAGCGCACATGGTGGCAGGGTCTCAGCCACTCCCCGCTGCTGCACAGCCCCTCACTCCTCCTTTTTCTTCCTGAATGGACGAACACGCTGTCTGCGGCACACGCCCCCTTTGTCATCTCTCACTCTAGCTCCACATCAAGTGCCTACTGCAGCATATCAGGACTTTATTGTGCAGCGGTTTAAAAAACAGGTCGATTTGTGCTTCGCCTATTAAAGCGACTTGACTTAAACGGCACTTTTGACCGAAATCTAGGCGTTTGAGATACAGACTCCGTGCGTAAAAGCTCCGAGAACATTGTGTCCTCCGTGGGGCAAAATGACAGCGAAGCACCGTAAAGGGAAGAACAACCACAAACATGAAGACAACTTTTTCAAGAACGATGTTATGGAGTCTGAAGTCCGCGCTGCAGGGAACAATTATACTCTCGCCTTGGTTTTGGTCCTAGTTGTTGTACTTGGAGGCGCAATAGGTGCGTGGTTCTGTTTCCAACAGCACCAAACTTTAACCTACTTGACTGACAATATCATGGGAATACAGATGAAAATAGCTAAACTACAATCCTCTCACGAAGAGCTCAGACAGTCAAGTGGAAAGGTAAGAATGTTTTGCCAAATACTTAAAATTTTTATTCTAGTGATATTACATTTAATAATCTATAGAGTAATAGCCATTATATTTCTATAAAGGCCCCTTAAATATATACATATATATCCTGTAACATCTAAAAGAAAAGGTAAAGCACATGCCATCAGTCCACGTTGCAGTTGCAAGCAAAGTGGAGGCCTCTATCAGATTTCAAAATGCCAGGTCCCTTATTGGATAAGAGTACAAAACGCTATTTCAAACCTCCAGGCAGCTGCTGAAGCTTGTAATGAGGATTATACTTGACCTATACAGTTTAACAGAATTTTTCTTTAGTCACCTAAAGACAAGTTAACATTCAAAACTATGAAAAAGTAGATGTGGAATAATACTGACTGGATAATTATAATCAGATGTAGTGAGCCAAGGATAAATATAGTTTATGATAGAGTTACTGAGCCCAAAGACTGTTTACTGGGCTTCGGAGAAAAACCAATATGTGTTAACTCAATCATTCTTAAAGTGAATGACCCTGTGTTGTGAACTCCTGTTCATGACCTGAGCTATAGGGATCTATACATATTAACCCTATATAAGAGGGTCAGACTCCAAACACAATAGGGCACTTTCCTCACTCTGCATCACTCTGAGTTGGAGAGGCAACTTAACTGGCCCAGTCCTCTTTAAATATTTTAAACCAGCAATTTGTAGCCTAAAATTGGTTCACTATTCACTGGGTTTTAAATAGTTCAAGCACATTAGCACACTCTTTTATGCTTTGTAGTGTTTCTGTAGGCAATTCAGTCAGCACTGTAGTATAAGTGTACAACTCATTTGTCTTATCTCTGTTATTTATCCTGTTGCCACAGCACATTTCAGATGGCCTGGTGTCCCGCTTGAATTCACTTGAAGAGTCCTATTCTCTGGCTCAGAAACAAGTGGGCATGGCGCTGGCCACTGCGGAACAGCTTAAAACCTCAGATTTACCTGCTCAGGTGTTGTCACTGCACACTGAGATGAAAACAAGATTGGCTGAAATGCAACAAGCCACAGTGTCCATGGAGCAGCTGGACCACATCCAGAGTCTGGTGCAGGGGAAGAGCGAGGAGTTTGAGGGGGTCAGGCTGAAGCTGGAGGCCCTGGCGGCACTCAGCGATGGTTTATCTCTCAAAGTGGAAGCACTAGAGAGTGACCTAGGAGCAGCCGAATCCAAACTCACCGAGCAGGTTGCTACTTTGAGTGCTAGTCTCAATGGACAGGCTGCTGAAGTGCTGAGTCTAAGGGAGCAGCTGGAGGAAGCCAGTGTGAGGTAAAAGAAAAGTTTTGTTCTAGTTAGTTGTTTCTAAACTGTGGTGTGTTGGTGTATTCTGGTGATAATCAGAGGTTTATGTAGTTCATGTATTTATTTATTCTATTTTTTCACTCTTATTGCCACAAATGAACACGCAGTTGTGCCACATTCCCAAGTTGCAGCGAGACATTGCATCCACACAATTTCAAGTAGATACCTAGTTAAAAATACAGAAATGTGTGTGTTGTAATGTGTAAACACTAAACATGACAGAAGTTGAGAAAGTCTATAAAAGTTCATTTTATTTCTGCTGGTGCTTGAAAATGTAGATATATTGTACATAGAATGAATCATCACTGGTTTAGAGAAATAGCTCACCTCCTCTCAGCCATAACTCTGTGTTTATTTTGCCTAAGCTTTTGTGTTGACCACTGTCATATTGCCTTATACACCCATAGTAAGATCCCCTTCATCTGTGAAAACATACTCATAGTTGAATATATTTTACAGCTGAATAATTTAGTAGGTTTTCTTTCCTGGTATCATATACCTGTTCTTTGTCATCATAGTTGCTTGAAAAGTGAATCAACTAACTTTTCTGACTTTTGTGTTTTGCAGAGCTGAGGCTGAAACTGAACAGGCCCCAGAAGCAACAGAAACCACAGTGGAAGAACAACTGGAGCCAGTAAGCTTGACTTAAAGTTCTAAAGTCAGATTTGTTCTTGTTACCGTACAAAATAATGCCACATTTAGTTAAATGTATACATTTAAATGTATGTACTAGACATGTACTGTACTAAGTAGTATTAATATGTAGTCAATTCACTGGGAGCAGTTCACTCATATATGTGGGTTTTTGGACTTTGGTGTGAAGCTGTATGCAGAGGAGTCTCTTTTGTAAAAAGGAGATGGTTAAACATCTGTTTTTCTGTGTTGATTTAGATATTAGTTTAGATATTAGTTATATTTTGTTATTCTTGTATAACAAAACTAGCCAGCTACCCTGGGGCTGAAAGACAGAAATATGGCCACCATTCTGCACCAGTTGCCTCTGCAACATTTAAAATGTTTGTTAGATGGGTGACCAGGGCTTTGAAACTGCTGTGGGCAAATGTTTCAGAGCAACAGAGCAATTTCATTTTTATTACATAGAGTTTTGCCTGAAAAGCATTTTATTCCTCTCCAGGTATTGGAGGATAGAGCTGCTGAGGTTTTGGAACAAGCAGACACACCACAAGAAGAGACAACTGAAGAAGAAACAACAGAAGGAGAGGAACTTCCACTGACAGATGAAGTGACCTCTGCCGAACCTACTGAGGAGGAGATGATAGATGATACTGAGGAGGAGCCAGCTGCACCAGAAGAGCCCTCCGTGGAGACAGAGGCTGAGGAAGCCCCAGAAGAACCTACCCCTGAAGTGGAGGAGATAATCGAGAGTGAGCCTGTGCAGGAAGAGACCACAGAAAACCAGGAGGATGTTAAAACAGAGGAAACAAATACTGGAGATGCTTTACCTGAGGTTGAGGAGGCACCAGCAGAAGTAGAAGCAGAGGAAATTGATGAAGGCACTGGTGTAGAGGATGCACAAGAAGTAGAAGAAAGACAAGAGGATGTCCCAAAAGAAGATGAAGAACTTTCAGGACAGGCAACAGAACCTGAGCCAGAGGAGCAGTTAGAAACCAAAGAAATAACAGAGGAAGAGACAGTGGAGGCTAAAGAAGCAGTAGAAGAAGAACCAGCGCCAGAGGACTCACCAGCAGAGGACACTAATACTGTAGATGACACAAGCATAGCAGAAGAGGAGGCAGCGTCAGAAGCAGAGCCAGACGTAGCAGAGATTCCTGAAGAACAAGAGGAGCAGGTGGAGGTAGAGACTGATGACCAGGTTGAACAGGTTGAGCCAGAGCCACGGGAGGAGGTTCAAGATGCTCTAGAGGACAAATGTAAGTATTGTAAGAACATGTCTTACAAAACAAATATTACAAATTATTTTAACCATATTTTTTCATTTATTTCAACAGAGTGCATCCCACAGGCATGGACTTTTGAAATGGACTTGTCCACAAAGTTAAAGGGAATTTTTTCTGAGTGTCAGACACACACCAACAGAGAAATAAGGAAGCATTGTCTTTGAATAGGTTTTTATTGCAGTATCAATAATGTGGTTGCTTTGAAAAAGGCACGTTTGGTCAGAAGTCTGTCTACCTCAAAGATGTGTCTTTTTTTATTAGTAATTTGAAGGTCTTGCTGCTAAAACAACCACAGAAGCCTTAATCTACAACAGTTTCCACTCGCCAACACTAGCACTTGTTGTCAAGGTTAGAGCTCATGCAGTTACTGTATAGGATATGGTTACAATGGATTGTTAATGCACTTAAAGCCATAAAGAAAACCTGTTTGTCTACATTAAAACAGTTGCTTATTGCCACTGTGGAATGTATCACATTCTAAGATTGTAAAAAAAAACTGAGAGATCCATTTGCTGATTACATAGGCAGTCATGCTGCCACTGACAGCTAACAGGAGTATGTTAAGGTTTTGGGAAGGTTTTAGTGGGTAGCTTTTTGTACTTTTTAATTTTCCAATTAATTAATTACCAACTGAGAAAACTGGAAGAGCATATACTTCTTATTTTGCACTTACACTGGTTACTGTTAAAGCTGTGTGCGTGATGTCAAAGATTAAAAACTGACTTGTGTGTTGTCAAATTATACTGGTTAAAGGATCCCTAAATTTAGTGATGAAATTAGAGCAATTAAATTATGATATAAGGGGTCTGCATCAGTGACAACAATGATATCAGTTTATTTTCACAGCACAAGCTGCAAAACAACAGTCTGTCTTTTTCAGCAAAGTTGGTCACCAGGAGAACTGTTTCAACAAAGTCCTTTTTGTCAATCTCACATGTCTGTCGCATCCTTTAAATAAACTCCAGTTTTTGATTTTTGTTCTGTTTTGACTACATGAGGCTATGAGTTACTGAAATACTAAATCTTAATCTACAAATGTATGGAATTTATGGAATACACATTGTATACACTGACATTGCCTGAAGAATCCTACTTAGGTTGCAGAATATATTCAAGACCTGCTATTTTCTATGCAACTTTTTTATATATGTTGTCAATTAATTTTTGTGTTTTTCAATGTGTATTCTTTAAAACAAGTTTCCAATTGGTCAAGTCAAATATGTTAGTTAAACGCAAAGTTTTCATATCAAATTATTTGATATTAAGATATTATTTATTCCTGTAGAGTTTGGTAACCATTATCAGATATGTACTTTTAATTAATTAATGGGCTGGGTGCACTTGCTTTAGTCCAGTGCTGTGATGCATGATCTCGATTGTGTGAGCACCTTCCTGTTTCGCAGCAGGAAGTGTCTCTCTCTCCCCTGCATCAGCGCCTGATACAGTGTCAGACTGGCCTCTCCCTCTCCTCACTACAGCAGTTCTGACCTTCCCCTAGTCAGCCACATGCAAGCCTTCGCTCCCCGGTAAGTTCCCTTATTCTCCATCATTTCCTCTTTTTGTCGTATTGTCTTTGTTGTACTGTAGGGCCTTTAGCATTGGTTCAGTTCAAAGATTGATCACTAGAGACTAGTTGTTAACTGCACTGTTTGAGTTGGCTGCAGGCTATTGCTCTTTTGAAGTACTTCTGATCATTATTAATTCATGTGCAGTCATGTTGATCTTTTTAATGTGTAGGAGTTATATGTTTTTTCTCCTTATATTTTTCTTTTGAATTATCAATTTTATGATTTTTGTTTTACTTTGTGGCCTGTAATGCAACTTTTCACTGTTTCTTCAGTGCCCTTTTGGAGATGTGATTTTTGTTACAATATTTCTTAACACTGAAGTTTGAATTGAATAATGCATTGTTGTATATGCACAGCAGAGACTTGCAGGTCTGACAGTGATTCCTCCTCAGCAAGATCAATAGCAGTAAAAGCAGAGGCGGGGCACTGCTCTGGGTAAAACATGACCTGATGCTGATGCTGGCTCAGCTCTTTCTCTTGCCCTAACGGCACCAGCGGAAATGTCTTATATTTACAGTATATGCAGATAGTGAGCACATAGTGATTCAACATAAGAAAAAGCATAGGAAATTCATTATTTTCTCTCACATTCATTGACATTCATTCACAATTTTCAATGTTATTTTGTGTAAAACAAACAAATACATAACATAATACAAAAACATAATTAATACAGACTGTATATACATATATTGAATATTATGCACATTTAAAGTAACTTCACAGGGACCAAAGTGCTGCACATGAAAGTCAATGGAAATATTAAAGTAGAATAGTAGTAAAAGATAATCACAGAAGCACAAATAACACTAGACAAATGATGAGTTGATAGAAGAGCACAAAATAAAAACTTTGCCATTTAGGCTAGTCAAATTTCTTCCTCCAAAATCTGATTTCTGATCCAAACCACAGGCTTGTGCCGACAGAGACCCAAGCTGATCATTAACACAATTAGAAATTACTGACCACCGAGCTCGTTTAATGAATTAATTAATTTTACAGCCCTATGTTTTTAGTAGATGACAATGGAAACGGTATTAAATTATCTGTTAAGAGACAAAAAATCTGCTATTGAGCTGAAGTTACATGAAACATGTCCATACATGCCTACTATTACTGCTGCTGATACTTATTGCCTCCTCCCACTTGAGCCTCGGACTGTGCTTTTACTACTTCTTCAACTACAACTACTTTTTAATTACTATTCATCTATATTTTTTGTACATATGGTTGTGACAAGTGTACTGTTTCAAATTAACAAAAATAAAAGGCTGATGTACCTGTTTTCTTTATAATCTCAAAGTAAATTGCATTTAGTTCAGCTATTTTCAGTCATTATAATGGCTGAACTAGTTAAGTGTGTTACTAGTCTGTGTGTTTCTTTCTGTTATCCTCTAATGATCATTTTACCTCTTTCCACTGACCCAGGCATTTTCTGGCCCCAGTCAGGGATGATGAGGCAGAGTCCCAAAGAAAAGCCAAATCTCGTCATGCTAGACAGACTCGCAGATCAACACTAGTGAGTATCACAAATCATAAGAATAAAATAAACCGGTTGATATTGAGAAATTATTAATTCCATAGATGACAAAATGTTATGTAGAAATGTGTAAAACTGATTTAGGTTTGAGGATGAATGGAAAAAACAGGTATTCAGATTGGTTAGAGGAGTTAAAGAAAAATGACCATCAAAAGCATCAGAGTATATGTTTAACTTAGGCAAATACTATTAATTAAATGAAATAGTATTGGATTTTTTTACAGCAAGACTTACAATTACACTGATTTTCATTCCTGCAGGGGGTGACACTAACAGATTTAAAAGAGGCTCATAAGTCCAGTAGCTTGTCCCCATTAGATCCACAGCCAGAGGGCGCTGGTGTGTGGGAAGACAACATCAGCCTTGCAGAATCAGTGAAACCAAAAGGCATCAAAGTAGTAGACAACGTGAGCACAAGACACAACAAGTCTATTTTTTATAATGTGTAATTAATTTGTGACAGTTTTCTCAATGTAGCAGGGAAATATTGAACCCAGATTAGAGGTTATTGTTGAATCACCAGGCTTTTTCTACACACCTATTACTACAAGACCCCGTGGGATCTCTGACTACAATACAAATAACAGCTGCTATAAAGGTCAGTGTCTCATCAATGCAACAATGCAAATGTACGTGATTTGTTTAATTAAATGAACGTATAATTTAAACATACTTTCTTTTCAAGTGCAGTTAATGAGGGGCTGTGGAGAGACGAGAATCATAACCCCACTGAAGACACGGCATTGTTGACCTTTACCTCAACACAGCAGCCCAGACAACTTTCCAGTGATGTCGATGAGGACAAAGCCTGTGCTGCAGAGGTAAGGCAGGTAATACTAGCATTTCCTCAGTAAGCCACAAGATGGAGCCATTGTTTAACTTCACGCAATCCTCCATTAGGATCAACCATGGATCTATTAAAATAACCATGGTATTTAATGCATGATGTTGATTTGTGTGTTTGCTTATAAATACCACCCAAGAACATATCATGTACTTCTATATTTTCCTTTCAGAATCTATAGGTAGGTATACAGTATTTGCTTTATAGGTAAATTAGTCCTCTGCATTTGACCCATCCTTTCAATGGAACAACCTGTCAGGAGCGTCTGCAGATCTTGGGCTATGTTTAGTCAGGACTGCCTAACTGGGTGATTAGCCTATTGTGCGTGTTTTAGATTTAGTATCAGTATTAAGTAACTAGTGTCTTATTTGTATTCACCTCCAGTTTTCTCTGAGTGTGGCAAAGCCTTTCTTCAAACACTCTGTCTCTCTGGCGCCTGATGCAATATTTAGACTTGTGCTGCAATCATTTTCCATGGATGTAAAGCATGTGTGAGTTTTCTTTTACCTACAGTGCTTTATAATAATATTACAGAGACAGAGCCCACTCTCCCATCTAAGTCGCTTTGCTTCTCTGCATCACATGTCTCAACATTCCAGACCATATTGGGCCAAACGCAGTCACTCAAAGGGCTTCAGAGGGCTGTGCTTCTTTCAGCTTTAAAAGATATGAACTCTCCATACACCTGGGCCTTTGGAAAAAGCTGACCCAGAACTTGGCATTTACTTGCTACTAGACATTATCCAGTTGTTAAATGGGTCCTGTCCCTCTCTCAAATAGGGACAGGAGCAAGTATTCTTGTATTGATATGACATTTTCATAGTAAATACAGATAAATTAGTCTGAGTGAGCCTGATCATTACATTAATGACAAATCTCTCTGAATTTATCACATCAAATTAACAATACAAGTATTACACATTCCTAAGTCATGTCTTGTATTAAAGAACAATGTAAATTGTTGGATGGGTTGTCTTTGGAAATCCAGCTCATTGATACAGAATGGGGCATTCTGTGGGGCATTTTCTAATGTCTAAGTCTTACATATATTTTCAAAGTATTTAGTAATTTTTAATGTAATTGGTTTAGACTAAGGTGTATAACAAATAAAACAAGGCAACATAGCAATGCACAGGGGCTGATGTAAAGTTGACACAACAGCAGGCTTACTTTGTGGACTTGGATGACAGAAAATTAGCTACAGTTTAAGCAATTTCAGCTATCCTTTTCTTTCCCAGCTACTTGAGCTCCTCTCCTCAAGTTCAGCGTATGCTGTTAGTATGTTGCTCATTGACTTGTCATTGCATGCATAGTTATATTTAAGATAAACATGATACTTTTTGATGAGATTTTATTAATGGTTTACTATGTACATTATAAAGATTGTACATAGTGCAAGATTTGCCAATGGTTTAGGCTTTTTGCCTGGAATGTTCCATGGTATGGCATAAAACTAATCCGTTTTGGGTATATTAAATTACAGGCATGCTAAAAAACTATATGCATTCTTACTGTGTGATGAGTCACCTCTTCACAGATCTGACCTGTAACTTTGTGACTTTGTGGTTTCACCTGCTCTTCTCCATGGAAAGAATGCCATATTGTGAAACATTCCAGGCAAAGCAACAATTTCCATGAAGGCAAGTGGTTCACAGACCCTCCACCAGGAAAATTATATATTGTGCCTTTAAATTTAAGAGAACCACAATTGAATACTTAATGAATGTATACTTAAGATGAATACAACCATTTCCCATGAGTAGACTGACCTTTTATATAGTTCCAGCTAACTATTATAAAAGATGCTGCCAAAAGGAAAACATCACAAATTTAAAATGAATTAATCATAAAAATACATGAATAATTCACTTTGTTTTCCTAGGATGCTTGAGGCGCTTTTGAATGAAAAGCAGTGCCCCATTGAGCAGATTCCAGGTCAGCTGTCCTTCACTGTCTTAAGCTTCAGAAGTGTCTGTAATACGAGAGCCTGTTAGTGTTATGGATAGGCCTATATATGTCTGTGATAATCATCCCAGCAATGAGTTTTATCAGGAGCATGACAGGCTGCCCATCATACTGCGACCCTACCATAACCCACTGATGATCCAGCCAGATTTTCCACACAGCCCCAGAGCCTTCTAGAAACAGGTGCAACATGAGTCCACGGCAAATATTTCCAACATTTCGGTGATGATAGCCTGAAACCTGACCACTTCTAATACAGCGGGCATTACTCATGAAACACGTCTAAGCCTTAAGTTTAATTAGATTGTGTCCAAGAGCTTTAAACGATAATATGCCACAAATGCTTAAGGCACAGTTGTTAATCTATATACACACCAGCCACAATGGACCAAATGGAAAGTTCTTAAAAACCCATCTGAAAGCGGATTCCAGCTGAACTACGAATTCAGTAAAAGTCTCCACAGTGAATGCCAATGTAATTTATCCAGTCCAAAAGCTGTTCTGTTACAGGTACAGTGGGGATGTTAAATAAAGCTGCTAAAGGAGCTATAGCTAAGAAGCGCTATTTGTAAATCTACGAGGCACTAGCATAAATCTAATTTAAGAAGTTCATTTCCGCTAGAGCAATTTATACTCCCTCTACTGGGCAAAGTTTTTTTTATTTTCATTTGACAGTATGATCTATTATAGCTGTTTACAATAGCCTGCTGGTGTGCTGTGATAGTAATGCTGCAAAGTGACAAAGAGATAGATAGAAGATTATTAGGTTAATCAATATTCATTATTTTTTCAGGTCACTTCATAATTGTAAGGAAAAAAAAAAAAGTGACAATAGTGTGATTGTGCTATATTAAGTGTCAGACTATATTTCTGGACTTTTGAAATATGTTCCAGGGCCTGAAATGCTTTGTTTTGATTTACCTGCATTTTGCGCTGTCATTTAGTCATCCTGAGGAAATTAAAGTTGTTCATAATTTTGTTAATGAAAGCTAGAGTAATGATTGTACAGTAGGGTCATCGGTACATTTTTAGAGACTAGGGAACATACCATAGCACTAGATATCATACTTGTACTTTACTTTTTACTATAGGCACTCATTTTAACCCCCTAACTTTAGCCCCTGGGGACAAAAAGCCTCAAAACTGAACTAAATAGCTTGCGTGCCACCAATGGTACAAGTTGAGAACCACTGCCACAGACTAAATAAGGTGGAAGGAAGCCCTATACCCTAGAGAGAGCCATAATAACACAAGAGGACTCCACTGAGAAAGTTACAGAAGAGAAAATAGCTGAGAAGCACTCTATAAAAGGAGTGAGACAGCCTACGATCCGGAATTGTTTAAGATAAGCTCACTTAGATGCGAAACAAACCATGAACGCCCCCCTCTTTTTTTTTTTTTTTTTAGCAAATAAACACATCTGTAGTACATAAACACCAAAATATGATGTTTGCACCACTTCAATGAAATGTAATCAATCAGGACAAGTACCTCATGTCCTCACCACTCTCTCATTTTCTCTCCCTTTTCATCAAATCTGGGGGTTGTTCCTGTTTTATTTACATTTCATTTCAGTTGTTGATAGCTTTTGCACACAGTGGACCCTCCAGGACACAAAAAATTCTCCCCTTATAGGTTCAACGTGTGCTCCCCTCCCCTTAACCCTGAGCACATCAGCGGGACAATTTTAGCCCTCATCGCAAGATCAGTCTAGAGCAGCACGTCTGGCAATGGTCCACGGAGTACTGCCAAAGCTGGGGTGAGCAGGAGGAGAGAGGGAGGGGGGAGAGAGACGGGGAGAGAGGTCTAGGGGGACAGAGGCACTGGGCGGGCGAGTGAGCATTAGCAAGCAGTGGTGAAGAAAAGAAAGAGAGTGTTTAAAACTTTGGGAAGGGCCAGATTTGGGAACAGATTTTGTTGTGGTTGCTGGGAAGGCTTGGGAATATCTTAACTGTACTTGGAAATTTTGGAAGCAAGAACTTGTTTTTGGATCGGAGTTATGGGTCCCATTTTCAGTTGGATAGGACAGTAAAGAGGAGAAAGAGGTTGAGAGGTAATAAAAGGGCACACAGAGGAGATGTCATCTTACTTTGCCCGTTCCAAGGACCTGACCCGAACCAGGAAGTCTGTGACCGATTCACCACCAGCTTCACCGTCCTACACTGACAAGAACTATAGAGTAAGACCTGTTTAAATAATTTAGATATGTGATTCAATATTGACTAACATTGTAAGGGCTTTGCAAGTATTTTCATTTTAATTGAGGTCATTTTAATCAAGAGGTATACAGCCAATCTATCGCTAAAAGCATGTGGTTTGGAAAGTGGTTTGTTTGTCATTTGTTCATTTTTGTTTGTGTTAAATTATTAAAAGTCTGCATTGATTATGTTCAGGAAATTAATATTGACAACATTTTTGATTTGTTTTAGATTACAAAATGAAATTGAAACAAAAATTGTGATGGGTCAGTATTAGCATAATCGTTATGATTTCTAGAACTACTTCTGCAGTTATTGCTGCAAAAGAAATCATAAACACCCCCCTTTTTTTTAGTAAATAAACACATCTGGAGGATATAAGCACCAAAATATGACGTTTGCACCACTTCAATGAAATGTAATCAGTCAGGGCAAGTGTCATGTCCTCATCGCTCTCCCATTTTCTTTCCCTTTTCATCAAATCTGTAGTTACTGCTACCATAACATTCATTCTATGTTTATATCTTCCAGTGCTGTTACTACTCTCCCCATGCAAATATAGTGTACTGTTGAAATAATTTTACACATTTAGTTTTTTATGTATATTACTATTGCAGTTGTAATAAAATTATGACTGAAACTAATTTGCTACTGTTTCACATCGCCCAGGTTCTCAGCCACTTCACCACTCTCTTACTGCACATTCAAAATGACTAATTAGTATGAATTTATTTTTAAAGAATGCTAAAATAAATGTTGTATTTGTATTTTTTTTGTCAATGGCAATGAAAACTGAAAAAGTACCTCACATAGGCCTATCGATATGAATCTTGGCACATACAATTATGTCATGTAATGTGGCATAACTAAAAATAACTGTTGTGTGCTTGCCTAAACTTTCTGGATTCAAGAATTTCTTATTTGGCAGTTTCCTGTTTGTTTGTTTTTCTTCTTTAAGTGTCTTATTCTCATGGGCTTTGGTGAACTGTTTTTGCTCCATCTTGTTCAGAGATGTGTGACAGAGTTTTTAAAGACACAGCTCCCAATTATAACTCAATATTATGACTGTGCACCTTAACAATTTTTCATAATTTACAAAAAATGTGCAAAACAAAACAAAAACAACTGCCTCTTGTCTAATGTACAGTGCCTTTTCAAACATTTAAAACAAACAAGTCTATTTTTTCCACTACAAGTTAACTTTTGATAATACAATGATTTCAATTATGATATTTTTTACATTATTAAACTGCTATACACAATAATATAATCTTATAGAACACTGCTTATTCCCATTTCTTTCCAATGCATATGTTTTAGATGTATGCAGACATCCATTTTAGGTGTTATCAGACTCACGAAAACTGGCAGCACTTTTATGTCTGGAGAATACTCTGAAGGGGGTTAGAGACAGGTTTGGGTGTATTTTTAGCTGTTGTCGCAATATTAAAATGCAAACCTTCTCTTTTTGATAAAGAGTGACGATAAAGCAACAGAGTGGAATACTGTAGACGATTTCTCACCCAGATGTGAGACATAAAAGGAAACATGTGAAGAGAGGGATGATGCTTTCATTGTTGGCCAGAGGAAAACATGTGGTTGTACGTGGAGAGAGTGGCTCAGATTTTCCTATCGAGAAGTCCAGTCGGCCATAAAGGTGTTGGGAGGTAATTCTAATGGAATTCTATCTGGCATGCTGTCAGACTTGATAACATGATAATAAACAGGATTAGAAGTTGTTTTGTGGGTTGTCGAATCTCAGTAACAACTATTGATTTAGGTTGGCTAATAAGTGACGATACAAATACAACATTATATTCTAATGGTTAATAGTTTAATAGTTGTTTTCAGGTAGTTTTAATGTGATGATGTATTCTTTGAGATAAAACAAATAGAGTAAAATGGACGCCAGGCAATATTTTTTGTATAAGCCGACAATGTTTTAAAAATGTAAGTGTAAATAAAATCCCAAAACGCTGAACCTGATTTAAAACTATTTATCCAAACATGCACCCTAATAGCTTACTGACCACATCAAATTTTAAACTGTGGGTTGTCATCATCAATATCTTCATTCACGCATGGTTACTGAAACATGTGAATGAAAGAAAACACAACTTCAGTTGTGTTTTTGATGAAGTAACACCATTATATCATGGCTTAAATCTCACAATAGTCAATTTTGCTTAATATAGTAATTTTAAATGGTTACTTTAGCATAATGAGCTTTAAGACACCCATGAGTGTGTTGGTCAATGCTTTACTTCCATCACCTGGAACCCCTAGTAATAATATGTTAAAAAGCTAATATTGTATAGAGCTACTTTTTACTTCTTTGTCCATTATGGTCTCAAGTTATGTTAATGAATCATGACTTTAAAACAACAGGATGAAAAACATGTTTGATTCTGAAGTTAGATTGCAGTCCTTCCCTTGGGTGTAAAGCCGTTTAAGTGAGTGTTTACAGATCACAGTTGGAGCATGTTTCCATCAGCCTGACTCTGTTGTTTTCTTCCTGGTCGACTCTCTCCTCTGCATCTGTTCTGCCTCACATAGCGTACAGCATATGCCACCTCTCAACACTTTCATTTCTCCTAACAAGGGAATCAGATGTGCACAGATGCCACCTCAAGTATAATTTCAAACATGATTCATTGCTTGGCTCACAATCAAAGTTTCATTATGTTTTACACAAGGAATTATTTTTGTCCCAGTTGTGCTTTGAAGGTTTGAAATTAGACATTAAAACAGCATTATGGAGGAAAGGTCCAGGTTTATTTTTACAAAATTGTAATATACCAGGCTTGTCCAAACTATGGCCTGGAGCAAAATGCTGACCTGAAAACAATTTATGTTTGCCAAATTACCTGGCAGTACTTACCAGGAAGCAAACAGAAATGCTTTCATAAACCCAATATGGTATGTGCCATTAGGGCTCCAATCTGTGCTAAATGCAAATATTCTAATGACTCTCTGTACTGATTGTGTGGGACCTTTTGCTTCATCTGTGTGTTTAATAATTGGCCATCTCTTCTTACTTTACTTACATGCTTTTACACAAAATTATGTCAAATCAAATTCTTTATATTATGTTAAAATAAAAGATCAACAAAGACAAAAGGTACCACAATGCTATTGGACTAAATTATAACGTATATAAGGGAACTTTATTTCAAGTAAAGTATTTCACTAAAAATACAATTGCAAATCGTTTTCAGACATGGTAGCACATATACTAGTATTTTCCTTTCCTTATAATGTCCAGCTTAATTGAAGAGAATCCAACACATTCTGTTCATGAACACAGTGGACTGTGAAATCTCCATCCTTGGCTTGATCCTTTGAGGCTGTGAGGGTCTTTTTTCCTGGAGGGTTCTGCTGGAGCATATGACCACATAAGGACAGGCAGCACAGACTCACTTGTGTAAACACAGTGAAATAGCTCTTTAGACACTGCATGAAATATCTCCTATCTGTACCAGTGTACGTGCAAGGAGAACCAGCTCTCCTTCTAAACATAAATCTGGCTTTATATCCCCTGTACAGTACATCTGCTTCTTGTCCCAGTAGCTTAGATTGCCACACAAGACTTTTATGACCTGGGAAATTAATAATGTTTTATTGTCAGTTTTTCTTATATCTGTATCAGCGAAAGCTCCAATATTGCACGTTTTCCAGGTATCGGTATCAACGAGCACTCAGAGCAAATCACTGATCCGAATACCACTGTGTATTTCCCCGAATGAATGACCCATGGACCCTCTGCTGTTTACCTTGATGGCTAATGCTCCCAATGCTACTAACACACAGAGCAGGTTAAACACAGACTGTGGAGGCTCTGCAGACACTTAAAACACTCTAATAATGACAGAAGACATTTGTGTTAGCTAGTTGATACCTTCATTTAGCCTGTAGTGTGTAAAATAACTGGGAGTGTGCAGCCCATCAGCAGCAACAGCACTAACTCAGACTATGTTTACTCTGCATAATGATCCATGTGCTCTGAGGATGAGTGTCTTTTTACAGGCCTCACTGTTGGTTTTATCCATCCACTGTGGTAGAAATGAAACTGCTTAAATCAGCACTACTTATTGTCAAGAACATTATACATTTCACTAATATTTTTGTCATCTAAATCCTATTTATTCTTGCGTTTCTTTAAAAATAGCCTTTTAGAAGATTTATTTTTTACTCTTGTATATTATAAACTTGAGTAAAATAAGTGTACTTCTTCACACTATGGTATCGCACTGGTATCGAGTAGCATACACCAAGGCCAAGTATCGTTATCTACCCCCTCCCCCAATATTACAGGATAATGGACTCACTAATGCAGCAACTACTGGAGTTTAAATGCTGTGGGTTCTCCTTGTGGATATTTCATCCAAAAAAAAAAAAGAAAGACATAATTTCTTCAAACCCAATGTAGCATTGGTTTGGTTCTGTTCTAATACTAGTTTACACATGGTATAGTTGCAAGTTACCGATTTTGATCTGTTATGTTTTCCAGCCGCCATTCTAACAGGACGTTTCACAATTCAAAAGTAAAATTTTCATCATTATAAAAGCCATACCTAATTGTGATGTCATTTGTAAACCAGTAGCAGAAGTCAGTAGTTTACACGTACCCTTTGCTTTGGTAATGGCAGTAGACATGATCTCAGCCCCAGCAATGACGAATCTGGCCTCAAGCACCACAGTCACCTCTTCAACAGCCAACAGACCAGTGGTGGCAAAAGAGCTTTGGGCTGGACAGAGCTTTGCCTGTGTGTGAGGTCAGGCAGCGACCCATCACAAAGGGGATATTTAGCCTCTGATGTCATGGTGTCATCTCCTTTTGCCGGGCTCTGGTCTGGCAGCCTGTCTACTCCAAAAGATTACCCATTCTCAGAGGGAGCATTGACCCCCGCGACCCCTGTCAGTGCTGTGTTGTTGTGAATTCTATCTCACTTGTGCATGCGCTGCTGCCCTGTGTGACTCTGGGCCTGTAGGGATAATTCACTCAGGGTTTTGTTTGGTTCTCAAGATGGAAAATGTCTCGGTGCCAAGTAGCAGGGATGAATGATTTGGGGAAATATTGGATTTCAATTTTGAAGACACATATTGTATTTATTTTTAAATCAAGATTCAGCTCACACTGCATTTTTCAATCTTTGTATGTGAAATGCTGATGTAATTCAACACATATGAAGGAGCATTTGATATCTGAGAACAATGAAATATTTAATACTGCTGTTGCAACCACATGAATTTTACAGTTGTAGTCATCTGAACTAGATATTTAAAGCAAATAATTAGACACCAAAGAGAATGAATATTATGTTCTTTATATTGTCTTGCCGAAATAATTTGAACATTTGCTAATTGCAACCATTCAAATTGTTATTTTGAGTCCATTTCAAATATTTATTTCATCCATAATGCCATGTGTTTTTCATTCTTATCAAAGAAAAGAATAAAGACGCAACAATGATAATTTTACACTGATAGGTACTGACTGATATTGTTCTGTTGTTCTTTTGCAGCATGAACGATTGTCAAGGTAAATATTTCTTCTCTCAGTTACATTTCCATTTCCATTAAAAAAAAAAAAAAGCACAATGCAAGTATTAGGAAATAAATAAAACAATTCTGTTCCTCAGATATGACTCCAGTGGGGAGACTGTCACAGACAAGCCACTGGGGCGAACCAGCTCCTACACTCGCAGAGAGGCACGGCTGGCTGCTCTCAACAGGACAGATCCAGACACAACCTCAAAAGACTATAAAAAGGTACTGAATAATATTATCTGTCTCACTATCTCAAAAATATTCGGTGCCTTGCATGATGACTTGCACCTGCTTCAGAAAGTTATATTTTTCTTGTGAGTTCTGTAGTGGTTCTGTGTTTATATTGTACCAAGCTGAATAATTTTTGATCCTTGCTATATTTTATATTGTATTCATATTCTATTACTGTTTTAATGTTGTTATTGGTACATTTTTTTTGAGTGTGTCTACTGTGACCAAATAATATGGATTCTCTTGGAACACATGTAGTTCTTTTACTCAGCGTTGTTGCAGTTAATATCCATCATTCAATAATAGAAAGTCTTAGTTACAAAACATGACCTATTTTGCTGTTAAATCAGACCTACCAGCCAAAGATGCCTCATAGATCCCTGATTATCACAAAACATTAAATCATGGCTAATAATAGTCTGACAGATCAATGAAAACGTGTAAGTGTTATGTTTTTTTTTTTTATTGTGTCAGATGTATGAAGAGGCTCTCCACGAGAATGAGAAGCTGAAGAGCAGGTTGAACAACAGCAAACAGGAGCTGACCAAATTACGCTCACAGCTGGAAAAAGTTACTCAGGTACATATAATAATGTAAGTGTATTAAATATGCTTTTCTGGCATCCAAAACAGGAAATTTGTTGGATACATTTTAATCATGGTAACATATATATTCAGATCATGAACTGTTTTTTGGATATTTTCGTACAATAACAACCTGGTTTGTGTTTAGAAGCATGACCGGATATCAGAGCGGTCCAGTGCACTAGAATCTGAAAAGCGGGTGAGTATCTTGTAACCATTGCATTTGGTTTTATCTGTTTTACAAATAAAAACCATGTGTGAATCCAATGTCTGAGTTCAGATAATGCAAATCACAAATCACACAAGTCTACAGTTTGTTTATAAATGAACACTATCACAATATAATATTGCATCATTAAATATATATTAAATAAATATGAAATAATATGGAAACAGCAATCACTGTGCTTAACTGATTGCAAACATATTTGGTTATTGAAAATGTTACAAAATAAATTTATATAGTCTATAACAATGGCTCTCAAACCTTCAGGCGGTCCTGTACACTCCTTCATTTAAATCTAAAGTGTTTTATTTATGTTTGTCCACTTTTGGGTAATTCCTTGTTACCATTGTAGTCTAGGTCTGTCACAAATCTAATTTTGAAGAATGTTATATTGCCACAGAGAAATATTGTGATAAACAGTAATATTGAAACTATTTTATGCCACTTACACAAAAATGGATAATAATCCCAGTAAGTCTATTTTTTATTTTTTTTATACACTGTATCATTTAAAGGTCTGAGCTGAAACAAATAAAAGAGAATGAACTAATAATTAGCCATTGAAGTAAGTTATTTATTCCACCCTCTACAGCTCAAATTTGATCTTAATACATAAAAATAGCTCAAATCTCCCCACAGCTGAAAAGAAATTCTATACACAATAAATACTGAGCCACAAAATATATTGTTCCAACTTTCATATATTGATCGGTAAGTTGATATAGTAATTATTGTGACAGGCATACGCTAGACAGCAATCTGTTGCACAAAAGGCATCACTTACTATATAATTATGTTTTATTGTGTTTTATTTGCAGGAAAAACAAGCTCTAGAGAAGCGAGTGTCAGACATGGAAGAGGAAATCAAGGTTAGTACAGTCACAGCAGTGACATTGTTAATACCATAACACAACATGTCCATAAAAGCAGTATGAATGTGCTGTTGTATTCAGGACATTGAGCATTCTGGTAATAAATCTTTTTCTTGTATGTAATTGGTTATTTTTAGACTCTTGAATGTGATTAGGTTCCTCCTACAGATGGCGTTAGAAGCCAGTATTCCTTAAACGTAGACAAACTTAATTGATCCACAAGGGAAATTACTTGGACACAACAGCGAAAAAATCAATATAACAAACCAAACAGAATAATAGCCAAAATATAGAATAAATATTTCCTGCTATGGTGAATAGAAGCTTGGCATGACAAAGGAGCTCAATAATGGCTGCCCACACCCTGGTTGTGGAAGTAAATTTCTTATAAATTTTTCCCATAGGCTTTTCGAAAAAAAAAAAATAAATAATAATAATTAATTAAAGTTTGAAAGTTTGAAATCTTGCTGAGGGCTGATCAGCTATGTGGTGACTAATGAGCACAAGACCTATAATTTTATCTAAAATCTGTTTCTAAAACCACAAAATTATTAAAGCATTTCGCCAACTCTTGCATTTTAAATCTGCTTTTTGGACTTAAAACCACCATGTTTTGGACATTAGTAACCACGTAGTTGGTTAGACTCTGCAATGCCCTTGAACTCATAAAGGGCCCATATTATGCCACTTTCTGATTTATGCAATAATGTTGTTTCCTCTTCAAAAACATACCTGGAGTTGTGTTTTGTTTCATGCAAACATGTTTAATGCACAATCCCTGCATATTTAGACTGAGTTCTTTCCTCGGACTGAAAACTGTTCCACCTTGTGATGTCATGTCTCCATAAATCTTCACTCGAATCATTTGGATAATTTCAGCCCTGCAACTGACAATATCTGTACTGAACTAAAGATAAAAGGTAGCTGTTAACTTGAACACTACAACTACATAATATATAATAGATGTAGACTGACTAATGATAAAGGGTTATTCAAACATGAAACAAAACACAACTCAAGGCTTAAAGCTCACATGAGTTATATTTGTGTAATATAGGACTTTTAAATATTTGACATTTTCGAAAAGTCTATAGTAAAAATTAATGGAAAATTTACTTCCATAATCTAAGGGGGCAGTCACTGTTGAGCTCCATAGGCTATTAGATGAGTTTGAGTTAATGATCATCAGCATTTATAGTGGTGACAAGTTTAGTTATCCTACCATGTTTATCCATATTACCACAGCACAAAATCAACAGCAGTCATATACTAGTACAACAGGCTCATATGATGTAGTATTGCCGTGTGAAACCAGCAGTTGTGGAGCACACTAGGACTCTCTACGCCAGGTGGGCGCAGAGACAAGGAGAGGGAAGGTTAATGCATTTGGGCTCATTAACTGCTGCAGTGTTTTGGCTGGGACACTTTTTTCAGCTCCCCCTGCTCCACTTCTCTGCTGCCGGGGTGAACGCAGTGACCTAGTTCCAGACAAATACCAAACCCAGTCCAACTTGCCTTTGTGAGATTTTCCCACAATGCACTGTGTATGCTCCAGCTCCTTCAAAGTAAATAAATTGTTAAATGGCGTGCAAGTAGCCATTAGATATGATCAGTGGTTGGATGCATCTGCAGAGGTGTGTAGAGTAGCCAAAAATGTGCAGGAGTCATGAGGCTGTTTCTTCAAATGAACATTAGTCATCCATAACAGTAGTCATCCAAATAAACAATGAATTTAATACATTTAGTAAAAAAAGTATTTGTTGTAACACTGCTGTATATTGTAATTAATCCAGTAAGCCAAAAAATTAGATCAATGTGCAAACTGTGGTGAATCCAATTATTAGACAAGTGTAAAAATGAAGACAATTTACAGTTCAAAATTAGATCGTGTATAATTTTTGAATGGTCCTCAAATGATGTTCATGATGTCCAAGTTAGATCACTGAAACTTATGTACTTTTCTCAAACTAGTAAAAATGTGTATATATAAAAAACAGGTATTGTCTCTGTAATAATATACTAAAAGACAGGCTATAATAACACTAACTGTAGAAGTGCAATTTTGAGAAGGTAACAATTTGGTACTCAACCAAAACAAATGGATGAATCACATTCAGTAAGACAATATTTATAGTCTGTGCTGCCCATATCTCACCAGTAGCAGTTTGTTTGACCCCTGCTGATGTTATGGTTGCCTCAGCAGGACCCCCCACGGCTGTTCCGCTGTGGGTACCAGCCCTGAGGGGAGGGGGGATGGTGAGTGCTCGGTCAATATGGCACCTGTATGTCACACCCCACGGTTCTATAGGGCATGTAAACACGTGTGACACCAGACGAGCACACAGACTCAACGTGTCCAATCACTTCACTGTGCACAGGGTTCATGTTTGTATAAGAAAAGATGTAGTACACATAGTCGACACCAGAGAGCGCCCTACAGCCAGCAACAGCGCTCTATGCACACGCCTTGTAAATGAACTATACTGGTTCTTTCTGTCAACTGCAGGTGGTAGTGGTCCACTGTAGCCAAGATAATAAGTATACTTGGGCCTTATCGTAGCCCTTGCCAATACTGTGACATAAAGGATAGCATTAGCATGATTTTTTTCATTATGTGAAAATGACAAAAGGGTTACACTTTATAATAACTAGCCTTAATTAGGCTTATTAATTATGCATGAAGAAAGATTTAATTCACAATGGACAAATACTTGACTGATTCTGTCTTAATAACTACTTAACAAAGGGGTTAGGATTAGGAACCAGAGTTACAGTATTTGTATAATTCTTAATAAAACTATTTGTTTATTATGAATTCATGCTTTATTTTTGTCTATTTAGGCTATTATATTAGGGTATTATAAAGTGATATCATGAAAAGCTATTCAATCAAACATTTTACATACTTATTTTTTTTTTCAAATCTGCTTTGGCTGTTCACATGTGTAATCTGTACTTAAATCAAATTCACCAGAATATATGAATAATGAATAATAATTGGATTTTGAGATACAAGATTACACAGGAAAAGTCTTTTTTGTGTAATATTAAATGCCTTCACATTTTTGTCCACTTCAATTGTAATAACTCATTTTCTCTCTTTAATTTGATTTAATGGAAGTTCGCGTTTTCAGGATTGTTGTGTTAATTGAACAAGTCATTTTAAATTAAGCATAATTGGCTCATGACTTCACTCATAATAACCCTAACACTAGTCTAAAACCATTTGGACAAAGCATGTAGTTACACCACTTAATAAGGCACTACTCTACAGTCCGGCCAAGTCGTACTCTATTTTATTGTTTTATTGCATCATGGACATAAACAGTCCTTTCACACAAAAACACAGGTGGACAAATTGCTCTCACAAACAAGCTTCTGTTTTAGATAAAGTAACAGAATTGGTCATGATGTAGCGAACTCCTCTTTGTTTCGAGGGCTTTTGAAATGCTGGTCTGAATACAAGGCTTTCGTGATGGTGGTTTACCAGTGTTAGAAGTTCAAAACCGCTGAAAGCTTTTTTGAACCGTATTGTGGTGGGTCTGACAGCCGGACAGACAATGACTCATCTTACACCCTCTGACATAAAGGCACGATTCTCTTATTCAAAGTACTGCAACTTTGCTTTCAGTATGCATTTTCTCTTTTCAGTTTTCAAAACAAAGCAACACAAAATGATTTTATTTGCTTTGCTTTTTAAAATTCAGTTCCATTCTTTTGTGCATGCTTGTTTATATGTCTCAGTATCTAGACTTTGATAGATATGAGGAAGGATGTCACTTAAATAATTGTACTCATAAGACATAACTAACTCCATGAAAACAAGCAGGGACCACCAGCCCAAGTTAGAGGTCAGATCTGTGGAGAGGCAAGTCTGCTCTAGTAAGAATGCATTACTCACCTGTAATTGAGGGATTACACTTTTTTTTCATATTACAACTTAAAAATACATGTCAGCATTTAAAGGGCCCCTGATCTATGTTATGTTGTTTCCTCATCACAAACACACCTGGAGTTGTGTTTTGGTGCATTCACATGTTTAACACATAAACTGAGGCTGAGTTCTTTGTAGTAAAACAGAAAGTGCTCCACTGTGGAAAATCCATACACCTTCACTAGAATCATCTGGATGATTTCAGTTATACTGTTGTTGTACTCTTGTAGTAGACATGTGGCCTCGTAGTATACCTGTCTTTATTCCTACGCCCTTGCACGCCCTCTCCTTCTCTACCTTCGTGTCTCCTCTGTCTTTCCCCAGGCTTTCCCCGCTCTGACCCAGGTGCAGACATTACGGAGGTTCAACCAATGTCTGGTGGCTGAGAACAAAGCCATGCTGCGTGCCCTGGCCCGCCTCTCTGAAACCGCTGCTATGCCCGAAACTGAAGACCTTTGACCCTCCCTCGCCCCCTTTTGTGTCTCCTTATGTGCAACTTATAACTTCTGCTCTGTCTCCTCCTCTTCCAGCCCTCCTCTACTCAGGCAGGTCCCGCATTGCCATTCATCCTACACTGCAAAGCTCCTATAGGGTTGCACTAAAAATAGACATATATTTGACATTGTCTGTTTTATTGACACAGACTGAAGGTGTTCAACGATGGGACTAGACTAGGATTAAACCTGGAACTAAACCTAGACTAGCTCAGGACTAATCCAGGACAAGATCAGGATGAAACCAATGTCTACATCATGACTAAATCACTCCCTCTGTCTGGACTAAACAGCACTTACTATGACAAATCAGGACAAAACCATGATCTATTCTAAACCAGGTCTAAATGAGGACTGAAAAAAGTTCAATATTGTTTTTTAGAATTCTATGAGAACTATGACCAAATCAAGGCCGACTAAAACTGGATTCATTTTTTTAATAAGAACACATTGTAAGTTCTTTCTCTCCTTTTATTAAAATATTGGGTTAATCACAAAAATGATTTGTTGTACTGTGCGGCCCTGTTCCTCACACCCACCCACCCCTTCCTGCTAACACACCCCTTCTAAAACATCTTTCTCATTTGAAGTTATTCTTAGCCACATTCATCATCCATGTGTCATATCACACTGGGCTCTGCTGCTATTATCAAACTAAACATGTTAGCTTATCTAGCCCAGGGGTCATACATTATAAAGTGAAAACTGTAGGAGCCAAATATACGCTAATTGGGAAAGCTTGTTTGAGGAATTTGCTGTTTATATTACTGTTTTTTTTTTTTAAATAAATAACATTTGTTGATTGGTTGTAATAAGGAAGAGTCATTTTTGTATTGTTGAATATAATATAGTATATAGTATATGTTTTTCCTTTATGACTCAATCGTTTACCACAGGGGTTGGTGCAGGAGTTCAGCCACTCTTTACTTCCCCATTTTCCTCCCACTTGATAGTACTTGTATTGAAGGCAGACTTTTTTTTTTTTAATTGTTTTTATTATATAATGATAAGACCAGTTCCTTCTAAGTTTGTTGAATGTTAAAGTGTCCTTTGTTGTTTCCATAAGAATAAACTAACTTTACTATTATGAATGCTTATTCACAAAAATACATCAACAGAGCAAGAGGAATATGGGAGATTGAGACACGTTTTGCATTGGTGGATTTTTGGCTAAACAATGTCACATCTGTCAAAAATGAGTCAGGCTTTGGGATAAGGTAAACATTTGAATAAAATTGTATAACTCAAGATTTAATGGATGCCCCAATGGCTCAACTTTCCCAAGTCTCCCCTAATCATGACTAAACCACATTTAAACAAGGATTCAACATGAATCTAAAGGGAAACCTTAAAAGACCCATATTACACTATTTTCTGATCTATGTTATAATGCTGTTGCCTACTCAAAAACATAACATAGTTGTGTTTTGTTTCATTCACTCACAAACTGCATATTTATATTGGGACTGAAGCAACACAACTCCAGATATGTTTTTGAGTAGGCAACAGCATTATAACATGGCTTAAACTCATAAAAGTACATTTTGACCTTTCCCTCTACAAATGAGAATACAATGGACCCTGAGTACCACTAGTTGTCCTAGTACTAGTAGTACCAGTATGAGAATCACTGGTCTGTAACATGATATGGATTCCCCGTCTGACCTAAAATGGCACATGTACAGCTGTTATTGTTTATCTCTGTTCGCGGGGAAATACTTTGACAAAGAGCTTGATATTTTTAGCCCGGGCTCCTCGACAGAGACCTGACCTACATTTGTGGAGTTGACCCTCTCACTGGCTTCTCCGTGTCTCACTCTTCACTTGTAGATGTATACCTATATCTTCAGCCTGTCACTTCCATTGCATGACCAGAGTTGAAACGCATGCTTTTTCTGCTGCTCAAAAACATATAGATGCTAACATGTTTCTTTTTAACGCTGCAGGTATTGACAGAGCTGAAGTCAGACAACCAGCGACTAAAGGATGAGAATGGGGCCCTTATTCGAGTCATCAGCAAACTGTCTAAATAATGGACTTCTACTTGTGATGGAAATGACAATATAATTATCTCCAGTGTCAGCCTCCTGTCCTTATAGTTAAGTGACTGTCAATAACCAAAGAGAAGAGTTGAATGCATTTACCACTTAAATTGTTCTCTGCACAATAAGGACCACATGAACACTTAGGGCCCAGTAAGTTAGCATCATGGATTTTTACACTACTGAAATATAACTTCACTGTTTGGTTTGTATGCATAGAGATAGATTAACCTAAGCTCCTATAGTGTGGTATGGTACATGGAAATGAAAATATTTATACAGATAAAAGATATAAGCTTAGATATTCTTATTTATTCATGTACTGCGAAGAACATGTTTTAATGCTGGGGAAACAATTTTCATAATACAAGTTTGTTTGCAGCTATATAGTTGCAGTCAGTAAATTCGCATGAGCTATAGGACCACTATGGCTAGTTAAAACATATAGTAAACTAACCCTAACTTTACAGTTTTTAAATACTCTTTTAATAAGCAAATGAATACCAATTTGCTATGATATATTTTAGTTATTATTCATTTTTATTTTTGGTTCTCCATGTTGAATTTTAGCCATAAAATTGGGGACTAAAATTAAGGATGCAGATACTGTTTTTGTTTTGCACTCTTGCACATTATTTTCACAGTTTGATGTGTAGATTTTTAAATGAATTATTGGAGTGCACCTCTGATTATAGCCATGATATTTTTGGTCACGATTGTATTATTGTATTATTAAAAGTCATATTTCTACAAGGGCTATGAATGTATAGTGGTGCTTTTCAGTTTCTAGAATATAAGAATTTTGTTTACATGGTGTTATCATGTTGAACCTAATATTTTTTTAGTGAGTAGAAACTAAAAATCACTATAGTACAACAGAAATCTGCATTTGTATTCTGTATTATTGGCCTATAGAATGTTGTGATCTGAAATCTGAAACCCAGCAATGCCTATGCAGTGTGTTATAATGACATAGAACTGATTAAACACATTCAAAGTCATGGTAATTAAAAGGCCTTTATTTCCTATTTCTTTTTTTGTACAGAACTCGTAGAACACATATGATAAATTGTAATAAGTTTATTTGGTTCCCTTGATAACTTTTTATTATAAGGATCCCCAATGGTTTTGTCCACATAAGGGTCAAGAGGAGTTTGTGAGCAACATTTGTGTCCAGTCAAGGGCTAAAGCATGCGATCCACAGTAGGCACAAGAACTGACAGAACACGCGCACTACGACACGAGACACCAACGAACACAGCGAAACCGCCCCCAAGAGAAAATCATGGATAAAGAAGAAAAAAAAAACACACAAAATAAAAGTTCTAATCATTTACAGGGACAATGTTTGGCAGTATAAAGAATGTCCATGATTTTGTGAAGGCCGGCGTTCCATTGACACAAAGCAGATTGAATGAGAATTTAACATTTCTATTCAGCATACAGACAAAGACTCGAACAGAAGTGTACGAAAAAGTGTCTCAACAAGTTACATTGGCAAAATATATAAAACAAAACAGCAGACTCATAAATAGGCTTGTGCAGAAATTCACAATGTGAGAATAACCTTGATGTTTCCCTTTTTAACAAAAATATATTCACGTGTGAACCATGCTGCACAGTTTGTAATGCATTTGTGCATTGAGAACAATCCAACCTCACAACCAATATATTTCAAACAATATCTTGTCATTATTGTACATATACAGCAATGATGAATACTGTGTCCCATGCAGACTTCCAATGCATCCTAGTGTTTTTTGCACCTTAAAGGGCATGAACATCAAACTCCTATCATTCACATATACACGCACTCACTCTCTCTGCCCCCATAGAACCTCCTGTGGTCGTGTGGCTTGAGGTGACCTGGCAGTTTAAACAAGGATAAAAGAATAAGACATCTTGAGAATGTGCTCTACATGTACTAGCATTTGCCTTGCTGCCAGCTGCTCAACTGGTCTTTGGAGATTCAAACAGCGAGCGTAGGCAATTGCAAAAATGTACTGGCAGTATATTTCTACTAATAAAAAAACCCTTGTGTTTTTGAATGCTTCTTAGTGCATCATTTGGTCACAGTCAATCCATTTCTGGGATTCGTTTTATATTGCATCAGACGGTGTGTTTTGCAATGCTAGAAGCTTCACACGTCACACCAAGGATTGTAGTGGCAGTTTTTCATAACAAAATTTGGCAACTTAATTCAATCTATTCATGCATTTTTCTATATGTGTGTGTAAAACTCATAGGCTAATGCATAGTTCTATGGGAGGCAAACATGGCGCCACTCCTTAATGTTCAAATTGACTCGTTTCATTGATGGCAGTGCATTTTCTGATTGTTTTTATGACTGGTGATGCACTGCAGTGAGGAGAACTTCAAAGAGTGACCCAGTTAGGTTCACAAATTGCACTCAGCCCAAATTTAGAACACACTCTTGAGCGGTTAGTGAGACCTATAATAATCATAATAATATATCAATATGCTATCAAAAACAAAAGCATATACATTACTAATCACGATACTTTAAAGGACATCAACGGCTCAGAAAGTAGAAAAACACATTCGCTCCAATGGATTCAAATGGACTCTGCCCTCCTACTGAAAGGAATGTATGAACATATATATTTATATCTATATATTTATAGTAGTTTTTCCATAAATCCACTCTAGCTACTCAGCAGAGCTATAAAGAGTTAGTGCTTAAGTTTTATGGCTTTATCTTATAGAATTATCTTGAATATACACACACACACGCACACACATATTATTATCAATACAGTAAAAGAGACAGCAGTGAGGGGTTTCAGGTTGTTTTGACAGAAGTGGGAAATAGACTAAGAAAAGAAGGGTTGCCAAGTCTGAAATTTCAATTTACATAAAGATTCAAAAACATTCCTTCTTTAGTCCTGGCACTATTTATCCTCCTACTTATTCAGCATTGCAAATCGGCTGTCATAAAATATTAAAGACTTGGATACCCCTCTCCCGCGCATACAAAAACATTTAAAAAATAACTTCAAAACTGGCCTTCCCATAAGCACTAAAATCAAATGCATAATGAATTGTGGCAAATAAACAGTATGTTTTGCAGCACAAGTAGTTAGATAGCAAGCATGCGGCTACGTCTTCATCCTACATGAACTCACACATTACTGGACGACACACTTGCTTTTTAAGATTTCTTCAGGCGTGGAAATGTTTCTTGATATTATATTACTTTATATCAGTTTGACATTCACTCCAGTGACCCTCATGGAAAATAAATACACATTTGTTTTGCCTTTAGAAAATATACAGTGCATCTTTTTTCCCTTTCGTCGTGTTATTAAATGACAAATGACACCCACATACACAAGATATTTTTGCTTTGTCTCTAAAACATGCTCTTATGTACAGTATTTTGTATAAACATGCAGTATCAACGGGTATGAACTATGTATATAGGCAAAACTACACATTGATGGGTTGCTTGATTGCTTCCGTGTTGCCTTTTCTTTAGTGTTGCTTCAAAGTAAAATATATGCCCAAACTAATTCAGGAAGATGTTCGCCATAACAAAAAAGAAAATTTGAAAAATACAACATTCAAGTTCCATAAAATTTGTGGTTGACTGCATTAGAATCACATTGTCTTGCACAGAAACAGTTTTTGCTGTAACAAATCATGTTAATAACTATCAATTTATCCAGATTTGGCGTCACTTTCACACAGAGAATTTCTATCTGAGAGACTTCACAATGTATCAAACCAATTACATTCTGTGTATGCAGCATTGGACTGGAAGGTGTCTCTTGTTTGTTAAGAGGAAGCACAACTTCAGTCTCACAACATTTCATCACGATAAAAGAAATTTCACAGGTTTAAATAAAAACAATGACACCTAGTAGTGCAATTTAATTCAACTGTTTGGTAAGCTGTATAGAAAATACACATGGATCAGTGCCTTCCCCAGTCGGTATACTTGCAATCATTGAGACGAATAATAACTACATAAACATAAATACAGAACCTACTCATGGTAAAACCTGCAACAAAATTTAAAGCTTTGTTTATGCTGTACGTCAACATAATGATTTAAAGTGCTTGAGTCCAAAATAAATAAACCAATAAATGCATAACAGTGTTTAAAACAACAAAGAACCAAAATGAAGCGAACAACACCGCGAACTGGAAGGCGTCCCTGGTAAGTTGAGAATTGCTTATTTTGTTACTTGGAAGGCTTGTCTCCTTTATGACTGTAAGACGGTTTATAGGGATGCCTTTGAAGTCAAACCCTTGTGTGGAGTCCATGACTAATGGCAGTAGCACTGAACAAGAGAGATACTGGATCTGGAGGAGGCGTAGGGCGCAAGGAGGTGGCAGACTGCTGTTAGACGAACGCATTTCTATTCTACCTGCTTGGTTCTGGTCGCAGCCACTTTTCACCGAAACATCTCTCAATAGGTTGGGTTCATATGATGCTACACCTTTTAAAACTGTCTTTAAATTGAAATTCAGCTGGGGGGCAAGTACGTGTAGATTTTCAGTGATAGCTTGTTCTTTTCATAATGCACATATTTTGTCCTTGCTTATGGTTGATGTCTCTGAAATTACTATGCCAGACCACATGAAACAAAAACAAATGTAATGTTTGTTTTTGTTCACACAAATGAACAAGGATGAGAGTACTAATTTGCTGTCAAGGCATAAAGTAATTATTCTAATACAAAGGACTGTTGCCATTTGAAAAGACTTTAAACCACAAGATTAATGTGGCAATTTTCTGGACCATAACTCTAACGTTACATTTGTGAGTTTTCAGAATGGATATTTCATTAAAGGTGCTCTATGTAACTTCTCTGGTGACAGGGCCAGCCAGTTGCTTGTTTCAAAGTATGACAATAAACCTATCAATCTCCACAGAGACAAGCAGGAAACGCCACCTGGTCACAGTAAGAATGCAAGTTTTTAAAGGTATTTTTGAGTGATAAACACCCATAACATAATAAATGCAAAGTTTAATACCATATTGTGGAACATTACAGGCAAAGCAATAGCATCTCCATGGTGGTGGACCCCTAACCTGAAAAGTTACACTGCGCACCTTTAAAAAAACTTGCACATGTAGTAATATTAACACTTGCCCTCCACCTGAGATTATGACATCATCAAATTCAAGAAAACAAACACAACCTATTTCTTGTGGATGCCAAACATATACGTGGGCCTTATTTTTGTCAATTTGAATGCGACAGTGCTTTTCTTGTTGAGTGTAGCATCCTAATAATAATAATTACAACAACCCGTTTTAAAAACAAAGGCATGGATATCCTCTCATCTTTCCTGAGACGAAAGGTGAAAGGTGAACGAATCAAAAAAGGCAGTGTGTTCTAGGTAGCTGATATGTGCCTATTCACCTATTCGCTACCCAACTCTAGGAATGTACTTCAACTGAACATCTATATATGACAACTGGCAGGTGAAGATCATGGTGCACCACACACCTACGGAATGGACCTGCTTGTGTTATTTCTCTATCAATATGGCAGTAGAAAGCATTATTATTATTATTATTATTTATTATTATTATTATTATTAAGCACTATTCTAAGCAAACTGTGTCACTAAAGGGAAGGGCTGGGGAGTACAATACGAGTGATAACATGTCGATTGCCCTCTGTCTATTATATTGACCTGTATTCTCATGTATGGAACCACAACCCCAATACAAAAATAGATCTAAAGGAAATCAGTGGAGTGTCTGTCCATTGGGTGTCATCTTGGCCAATGACTTCTTATGACATGATTCACTACAGTGTTTCCCGTATATCATGTCTGGATGTATTTGATGGAGCTTTCGGACAGGTGATGAAGGAAGTGGAGGGCTTGTACAGTAGTGGTGGTCTTCCTCTTGAATACATAGGAGTAGAGGGTTGATGAGATACGTGGAGGGAGATGGGAGGAGGTATGGGGGTCTGTGGAGTTTACTTCTTGGCAGTCAGGCCTGCGAGGGCTTGATCCACCTCCTCCTCGGGCTGCAGGGGGTGCCATTGAGCAATTGGGCGGCGTGGGTTGGCCAGCATGTCAGACCAGTGCTTCAGGCCTGCCCCCGTGGCCTTGCTCCCCACCCAGATCTTGCCAATGGCATCGTTTTTACCGATCTTGTCGTAATCAAGCACTGTGATTACGGCTTGGATTTTCTAGTGGTAGAAAGAAGAAATGGTGAAATAATATGAATGGTCTAAATTACTGAATATAATCTCAATTTTAATTGTTATCAAAGTATTATTATTAAAAGGTATGATACAGTGATGTATTATCTGCCAATCATATCACTCTCGAAGGTGCAATTTCCTGGTGGAGGGTGTGATACCTGCCTGAATGTTATTGCTTTGCCAAGATGTTCCAACATATTGAACTAAACTTATCCATCTCCATGGAAACAAGGAGGTGGAGACGTCAAGTTACATGTCAGATAACTAGAGGCTCTCACAGTAAGAATGCTTTTTTCTTTTTTTCCTCTTTTTTATTAAACAAAACATCTGTAACTGACTAAATGCACTATAGATGTTTATCAATGCCATGCTGTGAAACACTTCAGGAAAAGCAATAACATATAATAACATTCTATGGAGGCAAATATGTGGTCGACCCCCACTAGAAAAAACATATAGTGCAATAGTGCACCTTTTGGAAATGCAGTATTGTGTAGTTTTATTCATTTGATTAGTGTGGTTTAGTTTTAATCTAACAAATTATAATTTACCTTTTGTCAAGTTGTAAGAAATAGCGTAAAATAAAAGTCTTTTGTAAAACATTTTAATAGATAATTGAAAACCAATGGGTAGTAAGTTATTTGTACCTTCTTTCCCCCACTTACCTGCATTTGCTCGAGAGGAATCTCAAAACTGAACGACTCATTGTAATAAGGATTCAATGTGTTCTTTTTCACTGTCGTCTTCTTCTTCTTCAGCCTCTTCCCGTTCTGCAGAAGGTTAATTTTCACATAGGGATCTGCAATATGAATAGAGCAGTCATTAGGACGGTTCAGGGAGTGCAATAACTAACTTGACCAACAGATGGGGCCAGTGGTGAAGTCACAGTAAATCACGCTTGCTGCATGAAGTACTGCAGCGTCAGCACGTGAGTGGAGCAGGGCTGAGCTCACAGCACCATCCTCCATAAAACAGAACCAGTGATAAGCCTAATTCCACTTGAAGATAAACACGCATGCAATTTCGTACAGGGATGACAGCAATAACCTCACTAATAGGCTAGTTAAATTGCATTATGCTTCCTCTATACTCAGTGACATTACCTGACAGTCCACCCACGTCCATTTTCTTCAGGTTCTTAGCCTCCAGAATACAGATGGTGAGCTTGCCAGCAGTAGGGACATAACGAAGGGAGATGCAAATGTCACCAAGCTTCTCCGGCTGTGGGCAAGAAAAGTAAGGGAGTACATATTTTACTCATGTCCTGTATATAGCAACCTCAAATAAGTATCTCTCTGTCAAACAAATCAAACAAACATCTAGTCCTATTGATAAAATGGACTGCTCCACATTACAACTGTACTGTGCAAAAAAATGCAACTATCATATTTAGATGACTGGAGATGAGGTTGAACATGCCTTTCAGTAAGTATGTGTTAGTCAGGTAACATCACAAGGTCATCATCAATCAGTAATCACATGAAGTAATCCTATCTTACCTCTTCTTGGTCTGCACTGTCCAGGTCTCTCCACTCTTCGATGGGCTTGGCCAGATCCAGTGTGTTCATGGGGATTTTAATCTCTCCAATGACGTCATGTTTGGAGAAGCGATCAAAGTCGTAGACAGACATTACCAGGGTCTTTCCTCCCATCTCTTGGAATGGAATCTAAAAAACAGGGCAGAAAAATATTTTGAATCCAAAAGTACTTAACCTATAATTGATTTCTCTAGGAGCATTGAAGTAGATGGTGTTTGGGGGACAAAATGGTGTGACCTAATAGCACACTGCTTCAGGAGATGGGGCTGACTTTGGTTCACTAAAGCAGTTTGAATTGTTTTTATAGAGCTGTGTCAGCAGGTAGGGTGCCCCAGAGGTGACCCTCTCCTTTAATTTGATTCTCTGTCATATTCTCTCTGTCAAACACCTTCAATATGTCTGCTGCCTTTCATCCCGGCAGGCCAAAAGGGTTAGCTCAGAGGAAGTCTTAGCAGTCTCTTTAGAGAAAAAGCATTGAAGTGCCCTAAAGAAGGACCTGGCTGATATCAAATAGAATCTGCTGTGACGTTGTGTTAATAGGGCTTGCAGCACACCCACCTTAAAGGTGAAGGTCTCGTTGAAGACTGGGTTGAGCGTCTTCTTGTGAACTTTGGTGTCAAACTTCTTCTTTTTGTCTGGAAGCACATAGACCTTGACGTAAGGGTCTGAGGTGCCACCGCTGTCCATAGAGAGGAGGTCGGCTGCCTGCAGGATGCCTACAGTGAGCTGCAGAGAGACGAGACGTGTTCAGAGCCACAGACAAACAAATAAACTTTCTGCATTTGTACTGTAATCTTACCTTATTCTCCTGGAAGTCATAATCAATAGAGTACTGCAGCTTGCCAAGTTTCTCCTTCTCTTTGACCTCTTCCTCCTTCTCCTCTCCAGGCAGCCCAGGCTCCACATCATCTTCTTCATCGTCATCGTCCTGTGGTTTCTGCACAGACAGATGGGAAGGAGGGGCGGTGCAGAGAGGGCAGTGAGAGGCCAGTTTTTAGGGCAAGTGCAGCCGTGGGCATCAGCAGTCGGGTTAGTTTCACCTACCTGCCACTTACCACGGCTCACTCAAATGTTACAAGTGCAATTTATTCATCGATGGCCAAGGATGCAACCTGACTTGATTTCACTATTTCTTGGGTGACACCATTTGCTGTTTTGCATTTCATAAATATTGTTTAGATTTTTTTGGTTAACATTGTGTGGTAGAAAGTCTTTTTTAATAACCAGAAGCAGGAAGCAAGAAGAAAGATGAGAGAAAAAGAATATAAAACAGTCAGTAGGATGCACAGACATAAAACAAGACTTGCATCAGTCTACACAAGAGTACTCTCAATGCTAGAGGGATCTTCAAGCACTGCCGTACAAATCGAAGTATACTAATCTAGAAACCCACTCATAACAAGTGAGTCATAGCAAATAGTTAACGACAATTGTGCCCACACAGCAACAAAGACAAGCAAAAGTAAAAGATGAAATAGTTTGTTTCAATAATGCTGCTGTGGTGCACTAGGCTCTCTTCAATATCACAGTGGGATGTTCCTAATAATGCGCCACCATCAGCATTAGCTGATGGAGTACTGTTGGAGTTAATACACTCCAGACTAGATTATTGCAAATAATTTATTTACAGTTGTTGTTGCCATCTATCTTCCTCATAAAACTGCAAATTTCATTTATTTTGAGGCAGGATTAATCATGTATAAGTAGCAGTTTGCTCTAACAAACTTTCACTGGGATACTGCCTCATTTCTCAGCATGGCCCATTTTCTACTGCTGTGCTCCTAAAACAGAGAAATTTAACACACATCTTTGTAGGACTGGCATGTGATGCTACTTACTTTTAGCTAGAAAAGAACAAAACTCACACACACGCACACACGCACATGTAGTATCTACATGCATGCTTGAGCATGCCCACGCGCTCATACGCTCTCATTCACACTCACTGATAAAGTTATCTTTATTTGTGGCATTCTCTATCTTTGAAGTGCTAATGCTTTTCATTCATGCATGCCAGGCCACACAATGCAGTATTCAAAAAGACATTTCTTTGTGATGGCAAATGTAAATGAATTACCCCAGAATGCCTGGGAATGTGTTTGCAATATTGTTAACTGGAGACAGATTTTTGTTGAAATTCAAAAATTCTGTGCGCATCCAAGAAGGCTTCATGCTAGACTGAGCTTAATTTAATTTCAGTGTGGTCTTTAAGCCGGAGATGTGGTGTGTCTGAATATGTGCCCACTCTTTGACTACATGGAGTGAATCACACAATGTTAAAGCTTAAACAATGAGTTAAGATGTCATAGGCTGGGAGTGGGCACATGTCCTGACACACCGTTTCCCCTCACTCACACTTCTACTTTGGGTCAGACTTTCACCAAGTATCTGCAGCATGGGTCATCCAGGAACGTTACTCTCAAGTCAAGTTGTGGCCATTCAATGGTACCTACTGCAAGGGCATATGCTGGTCTTTGTCAACATCATCTTTCTCATGTAGTGCAAGTGTTTGGATGAAAGTACACAATGTGAGTGTGAGTTTCAGTAAAGACTCAAATGGATCATTGTCAGTTTTAGAGTATAAATAAATGTGCGGTGGTTAGTGGTGAAACTACAGAATGAGTAAGTTTATTTGACAAATGCCCAGCTTATCCCTTGCACATGCATGTTAGTGATTTCTAGTGAGTTGCTGAGTGCACTCGTCATTCAAAGGGTCAAAGGATGAATTTCATGTTCATTTGCAGTTGGAAAGGTCTAATCTGCAGGATTTTAAGGGGCAGAAATGGCAAACTCTAGAAAGATTCAAGACATAGCAGTTGGTGCGGCATATCAGTTCAGTGGATTTGCGAAGCAGCTGATTTGCTCCCATAGATTCCTCAAGCACCCACAGCACCTAAGCTTGCAAAGAACTAAGGAAGCCATAGCACTCATTGTCATAGTCATTGTCATCAACATCAAAACCGCAATCCATCCAACCCTTCCAAGACCAAGCCCCCAAGACCACCACCCCCATTCACTGCCCCCCCACCGGCCCGAGTCTGTGCTTACACAGAAAGGCCAGAGAGGGGCGCTGCGTGCTGTCAGACCTACCGTAGGCCAGAGCGGTCCATCACAGTCAAGATACACGGAGCACACATAAGACATAAAGCAGGAAGGAGGAAGAGCAGAGACAAAGGAAGAAATTGAACTCACAACAGACACCAAAAATACGGGTTATCACAACAAATGCAGTCAGCTACACTGTCGGGAGCGGCGGAGAATGACAGAGGAGCCAATTGGATCATTTGAAGTTTTAAAATAACTCTTCTTTTATGTACTGCGTTTTAAATCACATTGTGCTATCACAGTGACAAGCAAGACAAAAGCATGGGATGTACTACTTATTTTCATAATTACTCTTAATTATCTCTGAAAGCTATTGTTACCTTTATGAATATATCTTGCCATTCTCCACCATCACCCCAAAACACAATAACATTAACGACAAATACATTAAAACTTAACAAAACATGAAAACAAAACTTGTAAAAAAGACACTGACTGCATTATAAAACTCTAAAAAAATAAAAAGAATGTTGCAAAAATCAACATAAAATTGGCGATCTTCTTCTGACAGCTGTTACACAATAGGCCAGTATGGAGGTTAGCGTTGGCATGGCAGCAGCAGGTGTAGACTCCGCCCACTGCCCCGCACCCGCTGAAACGCACCTGTCCGCCCGTCAGGTTCTTCATGCCCATGTCACCCTTCCCCTTTTTGCCCTTCTTGTTCTTCTTCTTCTTGCAGCAGCACTTCTTGATGACGCAGAAGCAGCACGTTACAATGAGCAGAGCAGCTACCACGGCGATGGCGATGATGGCCCAGGACGGCACTGAGGAGCACAGGGAGGAATGGGGTTTAAAGGATTTTCTGGAGCACTACATAAAGCCCAAGCGGTCACTATATAGATTCTAAGCTCTGACTCAACCTGTGTTTTGAGATCGATTCATCACACGATTTTCTGAATGCCTTTCTCCGCTTTCTCCATTACCTAATGATATTCTCTCGGAAAAACTTTAAAGACTTACTGTGATTAAATATATTTGAGGGATTTGTTTTTCATTTAGTTTTTCATTTGGGAGAAAGTAAAAATAAATGCAATTTAAATTCTGCACTTACTATGTAATAGAGATGTCAAGTGAAACAGCACTACAGAGTACTTTTCAGTAATGGGACTTTCACCTCTTTCATGAGATTGGAATCTTTTGGATATGTTCATTTCAAAGAACTGTTCAAAAGACTGGCTCTTTTTAGATTTATTTATGTGATCGAAGTCAGTGTCATTTTATCTACAAACTAATCACAGAGAGAAAAGACCAAGGCTTAGATCGGTTTAAAATGGTGCAAACTCAAAGTGGGAGTGTGTTATAGATTATCTAAATAGAAAGCTGCACTGCCATAATAATAATTTTTAAAACAGACTATTATTATGAAGCTAAATATGTTTTTTATGTGCAAAAAGCTCTCACTCCTGTTGCCCACTCTGCATCTGTGCTGATTGTTGTGTTGGTTCAATATAATCATTGTAAAATGCAAGAAATTTAGAAAGTTTAAAAAATTAGATTCTGTTCAGTAAGCAGTTCAAAAGAGCTAGTTTCGGTGTTCCCTTTTTTTTTTTTTTTTTTTTTTTTTAAACTCTATTCAGTGCTCACAGCCATAGCATTAGTGTATATTTCATATTAATTGTCTATATCAACAATCTATGTATGCAATATCATATAAAACTGTGAGTTTGCTTTTAAACAGTCTGGATTTGGTTCTGCTGGTACTCAGAAACCAAAATGTTATCTTGTTGTGAAAAGTCTGAAAACCACTTGTATAAAACATAACCACATTAAGGTCATATTTGGTTTACTGTTCTATCATTCAGATGTGCACTACTGCTAAGATGACAGACAGATAGATAGATAGATAGATAGATAGATAGACTGATGAATGTACAGATGGGGAAACTCTTTGACATTTCACCAACCGATCATTAAACATACTTCCTGTCATGTCCTCTGTCACTTATATTTAGTGAGAGGCGCTAGGTTAGCAATTAGTTTGGGTGAAAATTAGATTTAGCCGCCATTAGGCAGGCCAAGCTGGGATCAATACAGAATAAAGACATTATGAGGTAGCCTGCAGTCCAAGAGGAAATCCAATTCCAAAATCATTGCTTAAAGCCCGCTCAATATAAGTTTGGTTGATTAAAAACTCACGTGGGATTTTGTCGATTTCGTTTAAGAATTTGTTCTTAATCTCATCAAAGGCATCATTCTTGGTGCTGACTTGTTCAGTGGAGTTGTTTTCTGAGGCGACCATGGCCACAGGAGCAGGAGTCACTTCCGGAGCACCTGCACCCGTGGGCTTGGCGGCACCCACGGGCGTCGTCTGGTGCTTGAACAAGTTCCACTTCGTCATTTAGGCTGCACGCACAGTCCCTGGAACAGACAGAGCAAAGATACAGTCCAGTGAGGCCAATAAAATGATCATTAAGTTGATTAAGGATCCACTGGTGTGCTGTGAAATCATCCAATTTACACCCAGACATTGGAAAGAAGAACTAATAAAACATTTTAGTCCTAGAGTTAACAACTTAGAAAAAGGCAATGTCATTATTTTATTCTGAAAAGAAAAATTGCAGTTTTGTGATCATCATGATTGAGGCAGTAAAAAACAGTGCCAAAAAGATTATCATATACCCATTATGTGCATTAACGATTTTAAAATGACATTTAAATTACCCAAACTTTCATTTTCATAAAAAAGTATTAAGAAGAGGCAGAATAATCCAAGGCAGTGCTTAATGATGTAAACCCTGAAGACCGCCACAATCAACAATTCGTCAAACTCTCCACAAAATAAAGAACTTTTAACTTTTAATTTCTTTTCATCCCTTTTAATTTCTTTTTATTTCTGTCAACACGCCTCACATTTTTACTTTTTACTTCACACTTCATGAACAGGCAAGTTTTGGTAATTTCAAAGTTAATCTGTTCATTCTAGTAGAGCACCTGGGACTTTTTTTTATACAACCACTGAGCCATGTGCACTGTCATCTTAAAAATTATTTGTTTTCCTTTGAGGAGTGTCAAACTATTGTTGTAGTGCATTACATACGACTAATGTTTTGCGGGTATAGATTACATTAAAATCAGATATTCTTGCTTCTAAGATTGTGATGATTACGCCTCATTACCCTACAGTGACATTCATAATTGTAGTCAGTTAATTGTAAAACAGGTTAAGCTTGACATGTCTTATATGTGTGTCTGGCATATATGTTCTTCCACTGGTCAGACATGAGAAATGGTGGCTCGGATTTGCCCTCAGGAGAATAGTGTCGTGTGAATGGCTTTAAATGTCAGACTGGTGATTAACTGGTATTAGTGCTGGCTGGACCTGCTCACGCCCTCCTCTGCGAGACAAGCCTGTGGCCACTATAACAATGATACAAATGAGTGAATTGTGTAACTGGGTCCTATAGTAGTTCATAGTAATGGATAATGTTACTGGCGCACGATTTATGATACAATCCTTTTTCTCACAACACCATTAGCTTAGGCTCATTAAACCAAGAACACAAATGAGAAAGAAGTTAGTGCAGTAGCTTTTAACAGCATTGAGCTACACCTCCACTGAACATACTGAAGTCATACTGAAAGCAAAACAGGCAGCATTTTAGCATTCATAATGTCCATTAACACACTGGCGTCCTTATGATTCAGTAACAGAAATAGCAACAAAATTTGAATATCGGCTGCAAACACTAATAGACTTGTATAGCTTTATACACATGCTCATTACTAAGAACTTAAACAGATGAAATTAGGCTGATAAAGAGGTATTGCAAATGTGAGCTATTCGTAAAAATAAATACTGTATACACAACAATAATGGTGCAAAGATATCCTCTGTCCTTGAGCCAAATATTGCAATTGCTGCTCTGGCCATAGAACCAAACACAAATCCAACAAAATGAACGGGCTCAACCACAGGCCTCATGATTGTTATCCAGTGTATATCCTCTTATTGGTTATCATGATCAAATATGTAATCTAACTGTGAGTCCGGGCACCTCTCCACAGACTTGATTTGTAACTTGGCCTAGTGCCATCGCCAGCTTGTCTTCAATGAAACAGATTCATTTAGTGCCATACAGTCTACAGGAAGTTAAATAGTGCATCTTTAAGCAGTAAAAAAGTTGATATGGTCATCATTCCACTAAAAGCTTTCTATGTGTCTATGGTGTTGTCTATGGTGTTGTCTCTGTCTTTTATGTTGGCACTAACAATAGCCCAATCAAGCTTGGCTAAACAGATGTAAGGGCCATTCATCCTCCTGTATAAATATTTGCTTATCAGTTAACCCAAACTTGTTCCATCCTATTGTATCTCGCTCTTTGTTTTGACTGAGAACACACCATAGCCATTAACGCCACAAAAGACAGATTACAATCATCCACAGTCCAATCGGCCATTTTCAGTGCTTCTGACATGCAGTATTATATGTAGGTTGTTGTGAGGTCAGCAAACACAGACAGAATTTATACGAAATCACCATCAATCCTGTATTGTCTCAACATTTCATTTTCTTGGAAGCCGCTATGCCTGACCGGTACAGAACAACCACGGCCATTCCCCACATCTATGGGTTTCCAGGGGCTAAAACAATGTTCAATCAGACCTCTTATCGGGGCAAGAAATCACAATTTGACAAGTGCAACCTGCCGAGAGAGTGCTGAGTGATTGGTTTGGAAAGATGGCAAGCAGAACACAAGCAAGAACACTACTGTTAAACTTACTTTATTTAACTCATGGTGGCACTGACAAAAAAGAAAATGTGTACTTCTGAAGTGGCAACAAAGATCCAGCGCACATACAAACAATTCAAATTGATTCTGACAGTGGGAGGATATGCTTGTATTATTTAAAGTTCATGCATTTTCAATAGGAGTTTCTAAAATAGCTGGTATAGTGAGTTGTGTCACTGCTTCATTGGGCAGTGCTGAAATGAAAACTGGAAATGGAAAATGCTACTAAAGTTGCATATACATGTGTTCTTAAATATAAAAGCAGTTGCCAATGTCTTCATTTCATGCTTTGAGAATTCTATTTGGTGAGCCATGACCACCCACCCCTGCAAAAACACTGTCACCAGTTTATGATGCAATTGTGTGCCTTAAGCGAAAGTTTATAAGGTTCTGTCTGATTGAAATAGTGGTGGGCGAATGAACTGATATTCTTTGCTTGTGTTAATAGAAAAAACTAACCATAAATATATTTAATTTATAAGTTAAAGGTCTTACATTACGCAAAATTGACTCTTGTGAGCTTAAGACATGTTAGAACGCTGTTACTTCCCCAAAAACAAACCCAGAGTTGTGTTTTGTTTCATTCACATATGTCTGAATTACCTTTTATTATTAGTGTGTGTACATCTCCAAAACTCAAAATGCTCTGCTCCACCTTGTGATGTCGGAAAACTATAGTTTTAAAGTTAACAGCTACATTAGAGATTAGATTAGATTCCAAGGCTAAAATTATCCAAATTATTCTAGTGAAGATGTACGGAGTTTAAAAACACAGTAGAACATATCCTGTATTACCACATGACCTCACAAGGTGGAATGCTTTCTGTTTGAAAGAAGAACTCAGCCTAAATATACTAGGTTTGTGGTTAAACGTGTAAATGAATGAAACACAACACAACTCTGGATATGTTTTTTGATGAGGAAACAACATTATAACAGATCAGAACATCGTAATATGGGCCCTTGAATAAATGGATAATTAAATAAGGGATTCAACTGGCAAACAATTATACATGCAGAGATTGGCCTATTAACATACCCCAATTTGCACAGTTTCAAACTTAACAATTCAGCAACACAGACACAAAATATACAATGACAAATACAATACAAATACAATGATTTGTTTAACCATGAATGTACTCGTCTTGTCAGTAATGCACAGACATATTACATAACAACCTGACTGCTAAACTAACAAAGATGTTTAGCCTTGATGTGGATACAGTGACAATAACTTTGAAAGCCTCTTATATCACTCAAAGTTTTATGTTCGTTTTCTCCTGTTCGTCCCTCACACCGCACTAGACCAGGCTGCGGTTCAATTAACATTCATGATATGTGCCGGGCCTGTTTTATCGCTCTCACCCTGAGGTCCAGCGCGAGGACGGCAGAGGACACACAGAGGGGACAGGGCCTTGTTTATGACAGCTGCTTGTCCTGCGTCACACTCCAAACTGAAAAATGTTTTTGTTTGAACAGTGCACTCAGACTAAACAAAGGATTTTTAGTCATATTAAAAGGACCATATTATGCTATTTTGTGATGAGCGTTATAATTTGTTTCCTCATCAAAAATATACCTGGATTTGTGTTTTGTTTCATTCACACAAAAACCCTGCATATTTAGGCTGAGTTAATTCTGTAAGCCTTCTGTTCCACCGTGTGATGTCAAGTGGTAATACAGGAAGTGCTCCACTCTGTTTTTCAACTTCCTACACCATCACTAGAAACATTTGGATCATTTCAGCCCTGGAATTGGCAATTTCTACTGAACAAAAGATAAAATGTAGCTGTTAACTTGAAGCTAGTTCATGACATCACAAGGTGGAATAGAGCATTTGAGCTTTGGAGATGTAGACAGACTAATAATAAAAGATTACTCAACATGTGTGAATGACACAAAACACAACTGCAGGTATACTTTTGATGAGGTAACATTATAATATGGCTTAAAGCTCACAAGAGTCAATTTTGCTTTGACCATAGCAGAGAGGTATATATTAAAAAATGTATTATACTGAAAAGGTTGCAAAAAGAGCAGGTTCCAATTTAAAATGATATAAACTTGCAAAGTTATCTGAAAAGTGCCATATTTCTGCACTTTCATGTTTTATTTTACACTCCATTCATATTTTGTGCTTGAATTTCAACTGAAACCTTTAAAGGGACATTTCAGCACATTTGAAGAATTGCCATAATATTGTGCTATTATCTTCTTAATATATCATCACCGGTAGAATAAAATATTGCCTAGCCCTATTTGGAATAATGTAGGGCCTTATTATTCATCCAATCCCTACACTTGGTGGTAATACACAGGCAAGATCGGCTCAATATCTTGCCCAAACTGTGAGCTGTGAGGCTACTGCCCTTATATTTTTATTAGAAACAGTTGCACTGTTGGGAAGTTGTTATATTAATGCCTTTTCTGTAGCCACAAGCATAACTGGGGCAGAGAATGTTGCAAAGGAACCCAATATAGTATGTACTCAGCTTACCATCTGGACTGGTTGGTCAACTGTTATCCCATGGAAGATGTTAACTATATATAAAAAAAATCACATGAACACACAATATACCAGATAAACAGAGCACATTTAGTTGGGTCTGATCATTAAAATATATG